GCAACCAAAAACCACAATCGTCTAAAACACTAAACCCGTGACTTACTTCAAGATTCATTGTTCAGCGTTAGACGGGCTCAATTTGCCAAATAAATGTTAGTGATACTCAAAACGCTATGATAGCTCGAATTGAACAGAATTTTAAAATCTTTTTCAAAATTCTTGAAATTCAAGCAAAATTTTATTAATTCATGAAGTTTTTCAAAAATTTCTAAAATCACGGTCAGTGTTCTGCATCACACCGTGAATATCGTGAATCAAAGTAGACATTTGAGAAATATAAAATCTCTAAGAACTTACATCTGAGTTGCATGAAAGTATCTCCACTAATTTAATGGGAATCAATTTCATTCTTGGAAAGATCATATAAGTTGGATCATTCGAGTTTAAGGATTGATATATGTTATCGAAAGTACCAAGCTCCAGTCGATCACACCACCTAGTTCTATAACCAACACACTTGTGTCCTGATTATAAAGTAAAAAAATTTGGGATGATAGAATCCTCATCTTCTTGACAATGTTGAATAATGCTATGGAGTCTCATCAACAACCCATAATTGCTTGCTATAGGATAGCAGCAGAGGTCTCGACCAAGCAGACAAAGATATTCAAATTGCATTACATACTGATGCAACTGCATCTAAGATAATCATTTCATTCACAAAAAATGAAAAAAGACGAGTCTGTGACAAAAGACATTACAAAACGTCTATCACGACATCAACAAATCACAAATCACGAAATACAAAACATCTATAAACACATCACAAATCACACATCACGACGAGACACGTCTCCTTCTCGGTTAATTGGCCGCGGAAGGACAAATCATTCTAAATGGAGAAGTCTATACTTGTCTAGTACTCAAAGTTTTTCTATATAATACCGAACCTTTGTGCGCTTTGATACCAAATTAGAGAAATATAGCACTGCAATGGTGAGAGTCGACATAGAATATGAGGAAAGATTCGATAAACAAAATTGTTGATAAACACATGTCTCCTTATATATATATATATATATATATCAACAACTTAAAATATTTATTCAAATTATATATACAAAATACTTTGTTATTCGATCAAAAATCTACATGTTCTCACACATGATATTTGAATGATTTTTTAAAAATTATATATAATCAGAAATTGAAATAAAATCATACAATTAAAAATGAAAATTCAGATTTTTTCTGTGTATATTTATATGTGGAATAAATAAAAAATAAAATTTACATAATTCATACATAGACAATGTAAATTGGATTTTTTAGTTGAAGAATATATATACATGCACAATAAGAGACTAAATATTTTGTGTGTTCGATTAAGTTTTTTGAAAAAATATAATACAAATTTGGATGTATATGGTATTAAATCAATAGATTTCTGATTCGATAGAGTTATTATTACAAAGAATAATTGTTTTTTGTGCTGTAATTTATATTGCTTGTATTTTATTCAGAGGAAATTATATTTATTATTACTGCCACAAATTGTACAATGAACTTTATTTTATGCTTGATCATATATAAATTATGGATTAAAATTTTAATTTTATTATTATTCATTGTAAGATATAAAATGAAGTTAAAATATCATTATAAATCCACTTCCAAACATTAAAAGTTTTATTGTGTTTTCAATACATTTTTATTGGTTGACAAGTTATAAAAATTATCATAATTTTTTTAATTTAATTAACAATATAAAAAAAAGTAAATCAAAATCCCATATTTTTCAATTTAAAAATTCTATGAGAGCTATTTACATTCGGAATATTAGATAATGTTTGTAATTCAAGAAATAAGATTGTAAAATTTCTATCTTTTGATTATGATAAAATGTTTCAAAAAAAATTTGATGATACAAAAAACAAAAAATTTGATTTAATTTAAAAACATATATTCATTTTGAAATAAATGAAATGAGGTATACAATATAATTTTGATTTATAACATATTTGATAATATTCACATATATAACCAAATATCTATTGATTGTAAATCATATAAATGGAATTTACTATCAAATAATATGTTTTTGTTCTCATTTTTTTTTAGTAGTAAGCTTCATAATAATCAAATTTCATATAAGTAAGTAGCTTGAAAATTAAATAAATAAAAAATATTTTTAAGGAAAAAATTGATTATTAAACATACTGTTGTATAAAACTATAATTTCATAGTTATGTGAAAGATTTTGAAAAGATTTATGAATTTCATCATAGCAACAAAATTATATAGTTTCCTCAATAAAATGCTCATTGAAATTTTTTTAGTGTTGCAATCTTGGTTATTGATATTTTTCCTTTGATATTTGTTTAAATGATCAGTGTCAATATTATTACATATAATTTATCAACGTTTCATCACTGTTGTAATCTTTGCATTATATCATAAGTACTATATCAGTTTTTCTTGAAATCATAAACGTATTACAGGCTAACGTTGTTTTTTTATCACATTCACACATTCAACAAATTTTTTTGTTGAAAATAATCATTACATGAAAATCTAAATTTAAAAGATGAGTAATATCAATTTATGTTATGTAGAATAAAATGTGTAAAAATATGACAAAATCTATTTTGAAATGATAGTGCTATATGTCATCTAAAAATATACCAAGTGAATAAATTGCCAATCAAAAATTTTGAATATGATAAATTTTTGTGTGTGTGCTTATAATACACTTTGACATAGATATTTTGATGCTTAGATTTGTTTATCTCAGGACCTGCTAACTGTTCTAAATGAAATTATTAGAGCTGTTAAAATATAACAACTGGGAACACAATTTTCTTCTAATGCACAAGAAATGTCGCTTTTATACGGTGAGTCAATTAGATGCATGATATACGAAGTATAAATGTACAAGCATTCAGTAATTAAATAACGAATAAGCCCGAAGGTAATTTCTGTTCCGTGGAGACAAGGATGTTTCGAAAGAAGGGGCTCAAAAGCCAAAACTATGAGGAAGGTGGGATATTTAGATAGTCAAGAGAAGCATGTGGAGGGGGAGACAAATAGCGGCCAGCGAGACAAAAGGAAAAGTCTCCGATAATTTCATGGATCGCTCTGGATCATGACGCCGCTGCCAAGTGGTAGGCGAGCGCGAATATCACGAAACTCACCGTCCGATGTTTTTTACCATCGAATTAGGTTTCACCCCTGCAGCCGTCACAGAAATCCCAAGTGGCGTGTCGATTGTATTCATCGGCCAGTCAGAGGGTCAGGCGCGCCGAAGTATCCTCGTCACAGGCCGGGAACACGCCGTCGTCTGGATAAGCCAGCAGGGATGGCGCATCGCCGGGACACTCATGTCCTGGTCTCGCAGACGCTCCACGGACCGTCCGATCTCTCTCGCCGGGCAAAACCTCCAAAGAACTCGGCCAATGAGCAAAGCGCGGTCGTCGTCAACTCGCCGGTCGCCCGGCCGTCCGGCCGTCGTCTGCGTCTCCAGCGGAACATCGGTCCCTGCTTGCTGCGCGAAACTTTCCCGCGGGATTTCCCCTCCCCTCCGCCAGACTAGAGCGAGGATCCGCTATCTAACCCGGCCCAGGCCCGCCCCTCTCCCATCACTGATCGGGTTCGACCCTCTTCCAACTTCCCGATATTGCTATTATTAGGGCTCTCGCCACTCGGATGACCAGTCCGCGAGCGGAGGGCCCTCATTATCCACCAGGGAAAAAGAGGCGAGCCAACCCGGTTATTGTCGGCTGGCCGTCGTAGCCCCCAGAGCTGGAACGAGCGAAGCCCGAAGCTGGCTCGGCTCGGGTCGGGCCTCGGGAGCTCCGGTTCCGGGCCCGGCTGGGGGTGAAAGTAGAGGTGGAGTGGCCGTAACCCTAATTTTCGCCGGGCCCTGCAATATGACGAGAGATTAATCGTCTCGGCCCCCGCTACTTTGCGCCCTGCGAAGCTGTTTCGCTTCGGAGTGGGAGGGGAAGGGAAGGGAAGGGAATGGAGGACTGCAGTCAGAGAGTGGAGGAGGGTTTGTTGGCGTGGGGTTCATTTCGCAGGCACGAGAGGGAGGAAATGAAAGAAAGAAGGAAAGAAAGTGTGGATTCGGAGCAGGATGTAGGAATATTGGCATTAATCATCAATTTCGTCTGATGCTCCGGGATGGAGGGAGGGACGATGATGATGAGGGAGAGGGTGATGCTGCTGCTGCCGCTGCTCCTGCAAGGGCCAAGGAGAGGGGCAGAGGCAGAGGAGGGGATGATGAGTCATCTGGGAAGGCAGGGCGGTGAAAATGGTGCTCGTTTGGCCGCAGAGCACTTTTAACCCGGGCCTGGGGTAGGAAGCAGCTTTTTGCCCTCGCTCGCTCGTTCGTTCCTTTCGATCTCGTGTTGTATCGCTCGTCTCGCGCTCTGGAGGAGCATCGTTGGTTCCTTCCTTGGCTCCGTTCCGTCCCTCCTGATCTTTCCAAGGCAGGCAGGTTCTGGTTGTGGCTGCTGGGTAGGAGGAGGCTGGCTGGGGTTTCTTCTACTCTCGTCCCGTCCCTGGCCCGGGGTGGGCTGCCCTCGTCGCCGTCTCTCTCTCTCATACACCACTTGCTTCCACAACATGTCCCATTACTTTTGGTGTGCTTGGATCTTTTGTGCACCTACTTTTCTGTAGAGATCTTCGTTCCTTCTCTCGGCTCTAGGGTATAGGCTCATTTCTTTCTCACTCCCTTGCTGCTGCTGCTGCTTCATGGCGCGGTGGATGATGGCTGGCATGTTTTTGCGGTGGTCGTGTCAGTCCTGTTGGATTGCACTTGTTCCGGGAGGGAGGAATTAAGTGCGCGCGAGTGCAGGGGGAGTGGCGACTGGGGCTGGTGGTCGTGTCGGGTGGGAGTCCGTCGGTGTGTTGTTGGAAGGTTTTTACTCGTTGCTCTGTGCTTACCGTTCACTCGTGTCTTTCTGTCGTTCGTGTTTTGTTGGAGAATTCTGTCTAGGGGGGAAAAGTGTGCAGATACATCTCGTGCACCGGCTTTCAGGTGATTTCTTCCTCTCCTCTCGCGCGGGAGTAAAGCTTGGTTGCCGTGCGCCCCTTCTGTCGCGTCGGGTTTGGAGCGGCTAGTAGAACTTTGAGCCCTGTCCTCGGCCTTGGCCTCGATCGGGCGTTCTGACGGGCCGCTATGATGATGCATCTGGGACTGCGGTAGCAAGCAGGGGAAATGGAACTCGGCAATGCATGATCGAGGTTCTGATTCTGGTGGTTTAGCGTCTTTGGCATGTAATTATGCGCTGGTAGGTCTGGCGAAATTTTAGCAGCAGGAATAGGAGATATGATTTGCCTCCGGAAAGGTTTTGAGGTGATCCTCGTTTAGCTCTGGAGTAGCTAGGTCGAGATATCCTGGAGCTTCTGCCGCGAAAGAAGGAAAGGTTATAAAAGAAGACGAAGGAAGGTAGTAGTGGATTCCGCAGGTTTCGTGTCGATTGTTGAAAGATTGCTTCTTTGACAACACTTTCATCGTTGGACGACTCTTTTCGGTGGCCCCTGCTACAACGGTTTATGGATTTCATCGTCAAGGGTTTTCATGCGCCAGCAGCTGCTGCGTGTATGAATGAGCTACATTGAGAGTTTCTTGACCTAACGGCGGGCTCAGTCACGCTGGCCCCCGCACTGAAACTCTTTATCGGAGGAAACAGGCTTCCTCCTTTGGAACACGGGACGACGAGTTTCATCTCAGGGCTCTGTTTTGAATCGTCATGTCTTACGGTATCATCAGAGACGTGTAAATCTTGGCGAAGTAGGTTATGGTGAGCATGTCCAACATGGCGGGTGTCGTGTCAGCTGGCCGCACAGGAATGCAACCTAATGGGCAGCATCTTGGAGTGACCGAGCCTATCTCAACAGCTGGTCCTACTGATCTAGACTTGAAGCAGACAAGTGAACTTGAGAAGGTGCTGTCCAAGTTCCTCGGTTAAACTTTCTTAAACTGGTCTCTGTTGCATTGCTTTGCGAGAGCACTGCAGATCTTCAATGTCTCCTTGAAAAAATACACGTGGGCACATGCTCGCGTCTTAAGTACCTTGTGCATCAGTCAAAGTCAGGAAGTCGCTGACAGGGCCTTACGCTCTTTGATCAGTTCGGGTTCTCTCACTCGGTATGAAATTCTCGAATCTCAATCCTTTCTGTTGCTTTACAGTATTTGGTCCAAGCTGGGTTGTACGAAAGTCAAGAGGAAGCAGTCCGTCGTGAGGAGGTTTTGGGGCGTCTTGACCAGGTAAGTGCGAGGCACATCTGATTCAGAGGGTAGACCTCGGCCTTTCCTACGGATTCGTGACTCACTTTCAGCAAACAAACTTCCTGTCTTTCGCCTCCTAGTTACTTCAACGACCATCTTGTTGTCGGCTCTTTCCAATGCCATGCTGAAGCAGCTGTACCCCCGATTTGCTGCTATGCGCCGTATATTGTAGATCGTCAAAATGTGGGTTAAGAAGATCAGCAGAACGAAGGGCTTCAATGAGCAGTTTGTGCAAGAGGCGAACGCCAAGATTTTCACTTTCGGTTCTTATCGGCTTGGGGTAAGTTATCCTTCAGAGGAGCCTTTCAGTACGTTCGGACGATGAGAATATGCGGGAACTCGCACATAGATTTTGTACTTGAATACTGTCCTACCCTAAGTTGGCGACAGATTCATAGTAGATGTTTCCGCACACACCTTTCACACGCTTGGCCAGGAGTAAAGTATGAAAAAATGATACATTTACGTGCCATTTTCAGGGGTGGAAAGAACCCTGACGGCTGACAGCGTTTCGGGCAGTGGTAACATGATTGCAAATCAACTGTATGACCTTTGTTGACATCATGATGATTTTTTTTCCTTCTGTTAGGTTCATGGACCAGGAGCTGATATTGATACGCTCTGTGTGGGCCCCTATCATGCAACTCGAGAGGTATGTCCAATTCGTGGCCATTCGGAGTGAATGGTGTTGAACTTTCGCCTTAATTTGTGTTCACTTATTTGTATGATATTTTTGTTAAGTCAGATGCAGGTTTCAACATTAAGTTTTGTTCTTGTTTACGCCTCTGGTGCAGCAAGAGAAGTTTTGTCGTAGGTTTTGGATAGTCTTGAGCTGGTTGTCAGCGTCGCTTTTGGATAAGTATAGTGGAGTGCACCGTTTACCTCGCAACTACTCATGGTTATATCTCCTTTTCCTCTGATGGTCGGAATCATTGTTTCTGGACAAGTCAGTTGCTCGTTTGGGCCTTCTGGATACTTTTTGAACACCTTCTAGATTATATTTGCATTTGGAGATTGAATTTCAAATTTTGTATCAAACCCTCTCCTCGCGATGGAGCGGAATTGATGTTTTTGTACTTAACTCAAGCTTCGAGACATCAATTGCAATTCCACACGTGTAATGATGTATTATCATGTGCTTTTGCTCTCTGGACGCAACATTTGCTTGATGTTTGTTCATTATCGCAGGAGGACTTCTTCTTGGAACTGCATGCTATACTCGCGGAGTTGCCGGAAGTGACTGAACTTCATCCCGTCCCAGATGCGCATGTTCCTGTCATGAAGTTCAAATTCAACGACTTTTCAATCGATCTGTTATACGCAAGGTTGTCGTTATGGGTTATTCCGGAGGTGAGTCCAAGATCTTCAACTTGACACAATTTCATGCCTACGGCTGCTTAAACTTGAAAGAGGGTCAGTTCAATGGTTGTCTTCTGTTTCTTGGTTTCTCCTTGGGCTTGCGGATAAGCGATACAGATCGAGGGTCATGGAGTTGCTTCCAGCATAGACTCAGATTCAGCTTCGAAAGTTGATGAATATCTTAATTAGTTTTTTAAAAGCTGGCACCTCTTTGAGGTTTGCGTGTGGCGAAGTCTTTTGTTTCACAATGCCGAAACGTGTATTACATATCTTTCGTAAATTTACCCCCCGTCTTTTCTCTACCACTCTTCTTTTAACGTTTTACATTTGTATATGCAATCTTATTGCATACAGATCTGACCACAGCCAGTGGCCGACTGGTCGTGCAATATGAATTTATACTCTTGCGATCCTATGGGTGGATACTTTTAGAGCACTGCAGTTTCTGACTTCGTACCACCTGACGGTTACAGGACCTAGATATTTCACAGGAGTCTGTGTTAAGAAACGTTGATGAACAGAGTGTACGCAGTTTGAATGGTTGCCGAGTCACTGACCAAATACTGCGATTAGTCCCAAACATTCAGGTTTGTGCTTTATTTCGCTTCAAGTATCCAGGATACTCATCTCATGTTTTCATTCGATCTTGCCCAGTTTGCTCATCAGTTATCAAGATGTTGCATCACGATTGCATTGTGATAAGTAAGTGTATCTTGCTCCGAGTAAGAATCAGTTCACTTAACAACCGTCACTTATGATTAAGCTGTCTAACACACCTGTCGAGTTTCATTGTTTGTTCTCAGCATTTCCGCACGACCCTTCGATGCCTAAAGTTCTGGGCTAAGAGGCGCGGTGTTTATTCTAATGTGAGTTGTTGAAACCTGTACCTGTATCATTTTTGTCTTTTCTGAGAGGCTGTAAGAAAGCCTTCGAATTTATTTTCTGCGCATCATTTTTCTGATTGGAGACTCTCGAAATGTTAGCCTTTGTTGTTCTATCTTTAACTTGTTTCGTAAATGTTGCAGGTTACGGGATTTCTTGGTGGTGTTAACTGGGCTTTACTTGTCGCCAGGATATGCCAATTGTATCCCAATGCGGTGCCTAGCATGCTAGTGTCACGCTTTTTCCGTGTCTACACACAGTGGAGATGGCCCAACCCTGTCATGCTGTGTGCAATTGATGAGGGCACCTTAGGTCTTCCAGTCTGGGACCCTCGCAAGAATCCTCGCGATCGCACCCACCAAATGCCTATCATCACCCCTGCATACCCCTGCATGAATTCTAGTTACAACGTTTCGACAAGCACTTTGCGAGTTATGACCGAGGAGTTCAAGAGGGGAAACGATATTTGTGAGGTACAGTTTTTCACACACCCGATCGTGCAATGCGTTTTGCCCAGCGAAGATTGTCTTTATATTTTTATCAGATAATGCTGTTCAACATTGCCGTCGTAACATGATTGCCAGTCGTAGCGTGTCTGCAGTGATCACAAATAATCAGGTCTTTGTTGCTCTGCAGGGCATGGAGATTAAAAATGCTGACTGGAGTAAACTTTTTGAATTGAACCAATTTTTTGACACATACAAAAACTATCTTCAAATAGACGTTACTGCTGCCGACGACGATGACCTTAGGAAGTGGAAAGGCTGGGTGGAGTCACGGTTGAGGCAGCTGACATTGAAGGTGAAATCAAACTATGAAATTTTGACAGATAGTACCTTCTCCCCATTTTACGTCTATGTCCATGTTTCGTCCACTTAGGCACTTCTCTCCGCAGCAAGCCTTGTTCTGATCCAAGTTGGGTGATTTTTTACACAGATTGAAAGGCATACGTATGGAATGCTTCAGTGCCATCCCCATCCTACAGATTTCGTCGACACAGAAAGAAAGGGTCGACATTGCGCGTTTTTCACAGGCTTGCAAAGGAAACAAGGAATCCCACAACAAGAAGGTCAGCAGTTCGACATACGCAACACCGTAGATGAATTCCGACATTCAGTGAATATGTACATGTTGTGGAAACCTGGTATGGAGATACATGTATCCCATGTTCGGAGAAAGCAGATTCCGGCTTATGTATTTCCAAACGGCGTCCGACCAGAACGCAATGGTGTGCGAGCTGAACGTCCGGAGCGTACAGGTGATGTAGCAAAGAAACGTAAGCTTGACAAGTCTGACGAAGGAAACCGGACAAATCTGACAAAGAAGCAGAGTGGTGATGCTTTAGATGGCAAGCCCAAAAGGACATCTGACGAGTCCGGTAAGAAAGTTCTGGGCAGACCAACGCCCGAACAAGATATTGAAGAGAGGAGTGGGGAAGGAGCGCGGAAGAGGAAAGGCGATAACTCTGTTGATGGTAAGAAAGCCGTCGGGAGGTCCTCATCAGACTCTCCTAGCCCACCTGCCTTTGGCAGGTCTTTCAGCGAGGGTGGTGCTAGCGACCTCCTTCGCTCCGCAGAGGAAGCTGCATTGCATGCTGTCACACACCCAGTCGATATGGAAGACATTGTCGAGGGAACAACCGGGATGCCCGATATGTCACCAGATGGAATTGGCTTTCCCAGCAAGGGCATGGGAAGGCCTACATCCAGCGGAGTTGACGAGTTGGAGAGGGCCGAAAGTCAAACGGGTGCAAGTAACTGGCAACTGTCGGATGAGGAAGTTGCATTTCACGCGTTTATGAATCCAGGGGAAGCAGAGGGTCGCTCTGGGGAAGGAGGAAGGAAGACGATACCCGACAGGACAGGAGATGACACAAGGGCGCACAAGAAGGGAACTACTAGACCTGTATCAGGACGTCCAGGGAATCCTGACATGGATCGGGCTGGCAGCAGGACCGTCGCAAATGTGTGGTCGTCTCCAGCAGAGGCGGTAGGTCCAGAAGCAGAGGCAAATGGTCTAGGTGATTACTCGGATGATGCCGAGGACATGGTGGTTGGTGACGCTGGAGGACGAGTTGAAGAGAACGGCAACAGGCCGTTCCAAGCAACCGAGCCTGCTTATGTCGGGAAGGTTGAGGAAACTGGCCCAGGAAGAGGAGGGAATATGTTTTTGAATTCCCGAGCGTCAAGTTTCCACAATGGAAACAACGAGGAGTTGGAGGTGTCATAATCTTACCTTGGCCCTCCGATTATTCACCTAGTTCTGATTGTGTCCAATCTTTATCATCTATTTACTGCTTATCGATCCTTTTGTTGTATCAGAGCGGAAGTGGGAGGTTAAAACTCCAAGTGTCTGAAGTTTCGTTTATGTCTCTCTTGTATTACCTGGTTGAATCCCCATACGTGATGAGATTGAAGTCACTTCATATTGAATCAGCTAGGCCAGGGCTATGAGTAGAGTCGTAGCTTGTCTTTGGAAGGATTTTATCAGCTTCTAAAATAGATAGTAGATATAGGTGTAGTTGTAGACTCAAAGCATTGAGTTTCACAATATACTGCCGACCCCCCCTGGAGGATTAGACTGCTGAAGGAAGACCGAAGTATGGAGGAGTAGGAGGCTAATCTTACGTCCTGGTTTTCTTCGCTTCCTTTTGTTGGCTAAATGATGATATCCTGTACAGGTCGGTTCGTAAATGCATAGGCTTTGGGTATGTTGTCTCTACCTTGATCCCGGTATGTTTTCTTCTTTTCTGGTTTTGCCATCAAAGCTGACTTGCAGTGCTGGGTGGGCATGTTTTGTCGTGCGGTATGGTGGGTCTTGGTTTTAAACTGGATTCCTGGAATGGGAATCAAGTCTACAGTGATGCTGGGTCCAGTCTTGGTGGGTACTGCGGGAGTGAAGCCATCAGACACCCAGAAGAAGCCGATGATCAGGCAAGTATATCGATTCTGTTGTCATTCTCGGCTAGGTTTACTTCAAGAATGATAGTCAACTAGGTCAGGATCTTGCACTGCGAAGCTTTTACCATTTATGGGCCAGTTTTTTCACATGATTATGCGTGGCTACAGGCTAAGTCTGACTTCGGCTACAAGAAACGGCACTGGAGCCTTGGATGTGTTCTGAGAATGCTCCGCTCCAGTGGAGTCCTTTGTAAATTTGAGACACAACACTTCACTTTGGCATGATCAAATATCGCATCTTCGGAAGTTGCTAAAGGTGCGTGCTGCCTTGTAATCTACTGTGGGTGTTTCGTCCTTGCAAAGAGGTCAGGGGGCTGTTATCCGCTCTTTTACTTCTGGATAAATGAGGGCTCTTTACCTCTTTAGCCTTGGGAGTACTGTGGATGCTCTCACTTCTTTGCCCAGAAAATCATTCTTTTCAGTGACACAAAAGATCTCCACGATATCTCACGCCGAATTCGGAGACGAAAGCTGCGGAGGACGACAAATGTACAAAATGTACAGGCCATTCCTCCTGCGAAGGAATTCAAGTTCTTTCGCCGCAGGTCTGGTTGTCCGTGTCTGGTGCATGTCTTCATTGGTTTAATGCTTGAGCTCGTATGCCTGCAATTGGGTGTCAGGGGTGTTTTGCTTTGCCGGTGTCACGTTTGTGCTTGCTTCCTCTTTGTGTGTGGCTGCTGCTTGAGTGCATTTGCCGCATGGATCGAGGGACGCGTAGGGATGTCTGTGCCGTAGGCTTCACGCACAGATGCTGTGCTGTGCTACGCTGCGGCGTCTTCAAGGCAACTTGGTGGAATCTCATTAGACAGGATTTATAGCTGTAACAAAATTGATTGTGTAGGAGGACCCTCTTAAAACCCAGCTGAAAAGATTTGTAACAAAAAAATTCTTAGGAACTTAGAACCGGTAGGTTAGGGTGGGTAGGTGGTTCGGTGGTCGGTCAACAGGTGACAAACGGTTGTAGGTTTAGGCGAAATTGTCAGGCCAGTTGTAGAGATGACCCATGTCCTGTGCTGTCGACAAAGTAAAATTTCTACATTGTAATAAAGCTACTAATGATCAAGCTCTTTTTGTATCATACATATAAATCCTTAACTTCACGTGATGGTTGGAATGGTATTGGAGTTCGCCTGGTAAATTTTGTGGCATCGTAAATGCCTGTTCTCTTCGTGCAGTGAAACACCTGTAATACATGCATATGTAATACTTGGAAACAAGCCTGTGCCCGTAAGCAGCTTGTCAGTCAGGCCGTCTGAAATTGTTAGCCGTTGTAGATTGGAAAACGAAAGGTTGTTACACATTAGTCAAAGGCAACCGCGCTTGACGATATGAAAGGTTTCTTATGATGTAATAAGATGGAGATAGAGTTCATTCATGCTCTTCCAGTCATTTATATCATGCTCCTGGCTGTATTGAAGTCTCTAAAGATGAAGGAAACATATTCTGAAAAGTTTAAGAGCCTTTTTTTGACAGTGGCCTTCGAGCCAACGAGCCGTTGGACCGACCGAGACCTTGCCTTTTGGACCAGCCCGACACTGCAACACATTGTAGTGCACAAACTGTATTTTGAAACTTTACTGCCTAGAAAAATGACGACTTTGAAGTTCTCGTGGCCACTCTCACACTCTCACAAATACACAATCGGTTTCACCGAGTATATGTATACTCGAACTATCTTACTGTCGAGACTGCATGTGCTATGAACCCATATGCTTGTTACATCAAAGATGCAACACTAGTGTCTTGTTTGGTACATTCGGTCGGCCTGAAAAAGTTTGGTTTGAATTTTGACGGTAATGTAGGAGCTTACTGTCTGGAATACGATGGTTGGTACAGACAGTATAATCTACGATGACTCTACCGTTAAGTTATTCGACACACTAACACAAATCGAGGTCAAAATTATTCAATGGCGTTAAATGACTTATTCGGAACTTGAAAACGATGTTCCCCAATGCGATGATGCTATCCAGGCGTAGTGGCAGTAATCCTAAAATTTTGTGTGCAAATATTCAGCCTCAGCTTACAGAAAAGGAGTCTCTGGACGTGCAGTTCTGCATTTGCAGATGAAGCAACGGTGTGTTGAACGTCACAGATTTTTGAACTTTAGCAGCCAAAACTTCAAAAAGAGGGTGATTGCGTTCATGTTCCAGCGGCATTACCACTTTCATCCATTCGGAGTTGAGAATTGTATGTACTCTCTTTCTGATACTGCATGGACATTGGAAACGCTGTTCATGAAGAAGGCATTTGAATGAAAAACTTTATCAGCACAACATGAACCAGGAGTGTGCGATTACGCGTTGTGTTTGGCTCTCATCGAGCACTTACGAATGTCCAAATGTTCACGCACATATTTATCAAGTGCAATTTTTGTGCAAGTCCAAATCCTAGATCCACCAAACACTTTCCTCCATGTAATTTGCGCACCGATAGAGCTTTTTAAATCTCTGGCACCCGAACGTACTAAGCAGAGGAAGACCACCACCATCTTTGCAACTTTACCTTCCATACTTTCTCGAATCCAAAATACAGATGGCATCTGGTCGCTCTGAAAAACTTTCCGAAACTCAGTCGAGATTCGGCGGCTCCGACTATTCTGTTTCTCCGAACCAAGTGTTAGAGCTACCTTGGTAACCATACTTGTAAGGTACTTCCTCGGGCCATGGTCCAGTGCCGACATGATACTTCTTGTCTCCCAGAATGATCTCGGTCGAGCCTACCCTGAGGACCATCTGCATCAAGCCGAACCACCTCTGCTTTCCGTAAAAGTATCCGTGTACAAGATGGGTTGTGATCTTCACAACATGCGCATCCTCTCCCCGCCAAAGACAGGTCTTCAAATGCGCAACTATGGTTTCTACTTTCGTCCTCTTCCCATCGATCCAGCCAAAATCATACACCCTGTTGAAGTCCATGTACGACACGGTTCTGTTCACCCCATTCTTCGAGAGTTTGAAGTCGATGCGCAGCCATAGGTTCCTCAAGTTGACAACCACGGGGACGACATCGGTGAACACAATTGACATGTTTTCGACTTTCTGACTCTCATCCTCGGGGCCTGGCAGCTCGGAGTCCAGACCGAACCAGGTGGGATCGACATCGGGGTTCACATTGGCCGGAGCGGTGTGAATGGACACTCCTGTGACTCGGAACTCTTCGAAGCTTTCGAAATAATTGCTCACAGAAGCTTGGTGCCTGAAGTACATGCGCGGCGATCTTCTTTGTCTTCCTCCGAATGTAGGAATTGCACGGTCATGAAAACCAGTCGATGTTGCATTTGGTCTCGGGCTGGTGGTCCTCTCCATATTACAAATTGTTGGATTCTCAAGGCCATTCCATATTTCGAGTCTGTTATGATCGTGTGAGGATATGGGTAAGCAGAGAGTCCCGGATTTCTGGGCAGATCCAAGCCTGTAGCGAACTGTAGGACATGGTACTAAGTTAGGCCCAGCAAAACCACTTCATCAGAGCACTATGCAGAATATGTCTACCCTGAAGCCAATGAAGGAATTTCCAATTTATCTTTTCTAGATTTCTCATCAACTCGTTCCCAAAAAAAATTCTACACAAGGAGGAGATCGATATGACCTTTTTCCATTTCCTGAAGGAATCGGTAGGAATGATGCGGAACTTGCAGTCTTATCATACTCGCCATTCTTGTGCTCGCACCTGCTCGAGATGACCAGAGGAGAAAGGAGAATGAAAAGAACAGTAATATTTTGCAAGTAGTTGAGTGATTACATGGATTTGAATTTCGGTTACTTGGCAGCAGCAGCTGCTGTTGCTTTGCGAGAGGAACAGTAGACGGATGTGCGTGAAATGAAACCCCCACCTTACAGCAGATGCTGTTGATTGCATTTCATCTGAGTCTTGAGATAAACCTACAACGATGATCTTGGAGTCAGTCTATGCAGACTTGTAAGAGTAAGATCTATAGCAGTCACGGTTCTCACGTAGACCACAAGCCCTTGATCTCTTACCTTACGATCTCTGACATGCTCACGCATGAGTTCACACCCAATTGAAGCATACTCCACTGGAAATGAGTTTCGAGCACTCACGTCGTAAACACAGATACTCGCTCGCTGCACCACTCCCGAGTTCTTACAACGCCAAAGTTCTTGCCCTCTGCCCATAAGAAAGTGGATCCCATGGGTCCGTCTGGAGGGCGACACGAGAGTTCATAACTCTGCAGATAACCATGACTGAGAGGCGGATGTCCTCCCTCACTCTCGTGCAGCAATGTAGATACGTTTGGAGTCAGCTCGGGAAAACTTGAAGTGTTCGTTCCTCTGGCTAGGCTCAGAGACGTTGGTGTCCCCGTTCAAAACCTAGACGTTCTAGCCAGAACAATCTCTCCACCTCCATTTGAATCGGTACCATTCAGAACATGAGGTCTGAAATTGACCATGTGCTACATCTGTGTTTATCTGACCGCTTCATGCTTGGAAGAATGGATCTTCACATATGGTCAAAACAGGATAGTAGAAACATGGTCTGAAATAAATGTATAACGGAGAGCTCAGTACGTGTAAACTGCTGAAAATTTGATGAAGGTTTTCTTCAAGCAGATGACGGGCATTACAGTCTTGCAAAGCTTGAGAGAATTGTGATGCGGCGGGTGAAAGGTAAGTTGGGTCGGAATTCAATTGCTCATAAATTTCATATTGGAACTGTACTCGGAAGCTTTATAGCTCGACCAAATCTTTCGCGTAGGACGTCGTGCAATAACTGAAGCGGCCCTTCAACATCACGTGAACTACCGAGATTGGCATCACATCCAATGCATGGACATGGGTGTGACATTCCAACCTCGATACCGTACTTAAGACAATTTATAAGCTTATTACTCAAACTGACGTACTGTACTCATTTAATGAAAGAAGCCCGTTCAGGGGAGGAGACTGCTCTTACGGCGATCTGTAGACACAATGTGCCCCGATTAGAATCTCCAGTGGAAATGGACAAGGAAATGGAAATAAGTGCCAGCACAGGAGGCGCATTGATAAAATTCAGGAAGGCAGAAACTTGGAGAGGGAACGAACACAAGAAGGAGCGATCAACTCAAACGAAAGGAAATTGGCCACCTTATCAGAGCCACGTAACGCTCAACTTGGAGCATCCATCGATACATCAGTCCTCCCTCCGTGGCGCAGGATAGCATCTGTCATTGAGCCAACCCGTCTCTCGAACTACAATCTAATCCGTGCAGCTGTAAATCGATTGCTCATTCATCAGTCTTTACTGAGCTCCCTTCAGCTTGGCTTCGGCTGATGCAACGACTCCAATCTCCAGGCGCGGCGCAACGCAGTCCTCAAAGCGGCCTTCGTGCGCTTACAAAGGCGCCGCTAATTGCGAAATTTCCATGGCTCAATCCCTTTGTCTGGAGCTTCGAAGTTTGAAAGCAATCTACATTTGGCACACCAGGGGATCGACGGATTGGAGAGGACGAGCCGTCTGACTGTACTATCGCTATCGTCGTGCATGTGCTCAAATACACCTAGAGGGCAGAAGCTCGATCGTATTTTGTACGCTGGTGCGGAATTGCAGAGCAGATTTAGAGAAGAATGTCGAAAGTGCCACTGAAACCAACACAAACGGCATCCGGCTTGCATGTTGGTGACACCATACACTCTGCCATCCGGATATGCAACAAGTAATACGAAAGTAATACGAAAACTTGCCGCATTTCATGTGTCTCGCATTCCTTCCGTGTGGCTCGTGACGATCCTGGAAATTACTCACTCGAGTTTCTTCTCGTCAAGAGGCCTGGGCTGAAAATACGACTACGTGAACAGCCTCGGATGTCTGTTTGTGACAAATGTGGTATTCTGCTGTTTACATCACGAACCTCAAAACGAAACCGTACATCCGAATTCGTTGCTGTTCGATTTTGTGTGTGTGTTTCTGACGTGAAGGATCTGCTAAACAATCATCAACATCTTGGACATTTGAGGGTACTGATTTCAGAACTACACTAAGCATCTTTGTATCAACCAAGTCAGACGTGAATATCAAAAGCCAATTCCAAGTATTTTGATGTTTCTGTCAAACATTCCCAAGATCAACTAGACAAGTTCCCACATTTTGACTCTACTATCTCATGAACTTAGAGCATTGAAACCACCGGATTTTATTCAAATACTTTTGAATTATCAAATTTGGTTGGAAGTTTCTTGGTAACTAAAGGTCATTTATCAAATAGTGTATGAACACAAGCAGCTTTTGATCTGCTTGCAATTACTTGCAATTACAATTTTAACATCAATGAAGTTTGGAGTATTCCAGGAATTAAGAACAAGTTTACTTAAGTTTTTTTTGGAAGATTAGTCTCTTCATTTTCAAACACTTTGAGTGTCTAAAGCTAGTATTCAGTGCTGAATGAGTATTGGATCTTTATAGATAAAAAATAATACTAATAATGCTTGAAAAGTAATATTACATTGACGTCAAATTAAGAATTTATTGAAGAAAATATAAAAGATTTCTATCAACCTTAGTATATTTCATATTTTGCTTTGTTGAAAATCTTTATTTTACATTAGTATAGAACATAAAAAAGATTCACTATATATACAGGTCTATCTATAATTCTAGCATGTTATAGGTATTCCACTAACACAATGACATTTCTTTTATGTATAAAAAAATGATTACATGAAATGATATAGCATCTAATGCTTGTCATAACTTGGTTATTTTCTAAACGTTTGATTTGTAGGGTATTGCCCAATGTTATACATGGTTGAAAAGCCCAACCATCAAGATAGATTAGCACGCACAACACCGAAATAACATGGTTCACCTTTCTCAAGCTATGATATCAAGCAAGAGTAGAAACTTCACTAAAGCACATGTGTATACACGAATTCCATAGCCAAGTTTTCAAAGTTCACTCTCAACCCCCATTCTCTCTTCTTTACAAGAAGACATAAGATGCACATCTTAGTTAAGCTAACCACAATTAACTTCCTTAGCCATGAATATCACTAACTAGTAGTAATTCAAGATAGAATCAACCTAACAAATTTCCCTTTGACTCAAGTATTGAAGTGCTAACTAATGCATACTACATATATCTCTGCGAGAAATTCTAGAAAGTAAAGCTAAATCACACTTTTCATCTATAGTCAAGAGTTAACTAGAACTAAGCCGTAGTCGGCAAAAACTAGATGGAGAATACATGTACAAAAGTTACTAGACTAATTACCCCTATGCAAAATTCATAATTTTGCACAATACTTGAAAAAAAATTCCAATGCAATCACTTTGGTAAATTGCAACCATATTTAGTTAGTTAGAACTAAAGTAGAGGTTTCTCTAAAAATTGATATAGATACTTTAGTGTGCACTAGTAATAGCTGCCACGTCAGCGATCCGTGCATTTGGTAGGTATAGAGTGGATGTGTTAGTTGACAGTGTCACGTCAGCAATCCGTGTGCTTGTTGGAAAGGATTGAGTATGTTAGTTAGTGTGTTAGTTGGGAGCGCCATGTTAGCGATCCGTGTGCTTGTTAGGATTATTTGCCACGTCATTCATTCACTAGGAGTGGGATGGATGGCGAGGATAAGATCTTATCTCCTTGTACTTGTTGGGGAGAGCTATATAAGGGACTGGAGAACCATTGTTGGTATTTCTCATCTTCAGAGTTTATGTTTTTATCTTCGAGTGAGCTTCTCTCTAAACCCTAGTGTTACATCCACAAGGTTGAGTCATCAAGCAAACTTTGTTTAATAACCAACAAATACCAAAATGGAACATAATAGTACAGATTTGTTACCAAGGAGATAAAGTCAACACCAAAGAATCAAGAATTGTCATTAGTTAATATTTTATTGAGAAGTTTTACTTTTCAAGCACATGTGAATCCGAGAAGAAACTACTCAATTACGGCCGAAGGGTCGAAGAGCAGAGTATAATCATCCACACAACTTGAAATTTGTCCAATCAAAGCATGCGGAAATCGCATCCGACCTCACACTCAGAATTGAGGGGGGAAACTATCCAAAATTGCACATTCTCAGCCTACTGACCAGAATACCCAGACTCGAACTTGCTTAAACCCCGAATAGCTCCAATCACGTTCGGAATATCCAAATCGGACACTCGCAACTTTCATGCGGTAGCTTTGACAAACTTAAGCGCACCGTGCACGATGACAGAACACACAACTCACAAACGCGCACGATAAACACAAATTGACAGCCAAGATGAAACAATAAACAAAAAAGCTCCCCAAGGAAAGAGCCTTCTATCCATTCATTCAATTTGAACTCCTAGACATCTCAACCGCCCAAGGCGAACTACTCTTAGGCGTGGTGCCATCTGACGCACCGTTTACAACGTCTTCTGAGCTTTCATCCTCTCCTAATCTACGCAACACGCCCAAAATCTCTATCTCTAAATTCTCCGGCGCTTCTTCTAATCCGGAAGAGAAAGAATTGACTAATCAAACTAACTACTTGTAGTTCAGTTGGTCTTCATGCTCATCAATTACCGTTCCAGCGAATAAAATTTTAGCCACTTCAACGTTTGAACTTCCCACATAACAAAACCGCGTAGACACTTATCAACCCTCAGACCCAAATTGTCAGTTGTCTACTCCTTCAGCTGACGAAACATCAATTCCACCGCTTCCGCTCTGGTACGCGACGTGTCTAACTGCTCTGTAACTGCCTTCAACTGATCTCACAGTCAATCGCAATCTGCATCCAACTTTATTCTACATTCGACCTTCGAAGGCTTGGCCGTTTTGCAATACGTCAATCTCTTCGCCCAACTAACCAATTCGACTTCATGCTTCTTCATCTGCTCTGTCAAACTCACCATAAGCTCATTCGCGCGTTGCAACTCCTTGTATATGAATGGTATAACATGGTGAGTGATAATTAGCCAAAACTAAAATATAACTAGTCACTTCCTATAATAAACTACATATGTCTTTCAAGTATTTTTACATTAAATTTTTGCTGTTTTTTTTCATAATAAAACTATTATCACAACTAGCATGAGCTTTGAATGATATATTTCAGCAAGACAAACTAGCAACAACTTTCAAAAATGAATAACACAAAAATGACAAAATTTGATCTATAAATAACTGTAATGAAGATTTAATCACATTGTGGTTTAACTCATGAAAAGTTTGTTCAATTCAAATTTTGATTCAACATTATAAGTTTTTTAAATATTCAATAATTCAAATTTTTTCCATGCAACCATGGTAAATGACAATTCTTTCTAGAGAAATTTTGTAAACATCATTTCATAATGTTTTTAAATCTTAAAGTATATTTCAGACTTTCCAAAAGACGGCATGAAAATTCAGAAAATTTTTAAATTCTTCCGCCTGTGCTTTTTCATTCCCTTCATCACAATGCTCGCCTTCACAAGATCACCGCTAAAATGTGTCATCTCATCATGCTGGCGCATCATCCTCGGCGCTGCAGGCTCAGTCCGCTTCTCACCTCAGATCGGCATCGGCCTCTGCGGCAGCATCCGGATCGGTTGCGGCATCGACAACGACATCGGCCCCCGGCAGTGCGCCCAATGCCCCTAACACCCAACAGCACACGCCTCTTCAAAAGAGGAAGTTCAAGCTCGTCGAGCAGAGCGGGGCGCTAAGCGTCGGGGCGCTGGTCGTGGGGGCTCCCAGCGCCGACGATAATCTAGCCGGTGTCAGGGATGGCGCGATCAGTTTTGCTGCGGCGGCCTCGTCGCGGGCCGCAGCGCGCGTGTCCCCGGCTGCTCCATTACCACCACCGGCCAAGAAATCGCACAAGGTGAGTGAGCGTGGATTTTATGCTTAGAGCTTTTCCGACTCTCGAACGAATTGCGAGGTTTTATGGACACTTTGGTGCCACTAGCTTTTTTTTCGCCGTTGCTCTTCTTCACCTTATTTTTCTTGGTCGTAAAACCCATCGCTGTCAGCTGTTCCTGCCGCTGCTGACAAGGCTCTGAAAGTTGTATGTCAGAAGCCGCAAAGTCACCCACGCTGTTTGCATGATGTGACTTGTTGAACCACAAGTATCAACACTTGTTTCTCCTAGCCTGTGAAGGTAGCTGTCCCTGAAGTTGTACCCACTCTCTACACAGGCGTGACGGACGGTTGATTGCTAGGTCGCCATGTTCCATGAATAAAATGTTGGAAGTGAGTGTCGGACTGTGACTGCTGTAAGGAATTTTGCTGTACCTGCAGGTTAGCTGCACGAAACCCTACCTGCGCCATGCGGCCTGTGTTCTACTTCTCACCCTTTATCCTACCAGAGAACCGAGACAAGTCCAGGATACACAATCCCGACATCTCGGAAGGACAGAATGAGAAACGTGAAGCGAGTGATGGTGCCTGAATCCTATAAAGTATCTCTCTGCCGATGTCATGTTTTATCCCCTGTGTACACCACTGAAGAAAATTCATCCACCACACCAAAAGCAAATTTTCCCACACCGAAATGTCGAAAAATCATGCTCCTACTCTTACCTGTAAGCGCCTGAGAAGCTTCCGCGCTCCTTCACGAAGGCCTAAGTTATCTCCGCTCGATACCGCTTTTTCTATATTAGGGGCTGTGGTTCGAAAGATATTTTTTGGCCTTCAGACTACTCTCTGTCACAGCCTTTTCTTCCTGCTGGTGTGGAACCATCGCCTTAGTTGTAATTGTACTGGTCGTCAGTGGATATAATCTGTACTGTTAGTCATTCCTGGTGTCATTGTCTCTTTGTTGCCGAAACAGGTCAAGCCGGAACCTAAACCTGAAGTGCCTGCGCCTGGGGTCGGGCCTAGTGTCTCTCAAGGTAGGATGACATGCCAGCTCTCTTTGTTGGCTCGACTTGAGTTTCAGTGAGTGAGCTCCTACTTGTACTCTGCTGTTCGAAAATTTTGATGAGTAGTTAACGCTGATCGAGTTTACTGGTTACGAACGGCTGCGCAGGCCCACCACAACAGACGTAGCTACCGCTGCAACCGATCTCCAAACCCCTGCTAGAAGGTGTCCTTGACAAGCTGCAAAGGTATTTCCCTGGCTATCACATTTGAACGCGGATGTTGTCTGTGTAGGATTTTGACAAGTGATAATTACTATCAGGTCACATCATTTCACTTCTGTATGCTTGCCGCTTGCACTGCGTGGAGCTTTTTAATGCTTCTCTTTAAATTTCACATATGCATGGAGCATATAATGGAGACGGGAAGACCATGTGTCCGTAGTGTTGGTTGTTTTCTTTCTCTTCTCTCGTAAGTACGATGTGCATGATGTGCTGCATGCTCAAGCTGATTTCTGGTTGTGTTCTCTCTGCCCCCCAGGAAAGACACCTATGGAGTTTTCGCAGAACCTGTGGATGCGGCTCAGGTAATCCGCAATCTGATGTTTTAGAAACGAAGTCATGGGTGCAGTAGCTTCTTCTGAATGCACGTTTTAAAGTTTTTTCGTCTTTTGGGAAACTCATATCATATGATCAACAGTCTCAATCGTAATTTGATTGACTTTGTGGAGGTCCGGACAGCAGAGTCGGTCGCACCCTCTTTCAGTCCTGACCATTTTTTTGCTGCTGGTTCTTTCAGGTTCCGGATTATTATGACGTTATCAAAGATCCGATGGATTTTGGAACAGTGAGGAAGAAAATTAACAAGAACGCTTACTCGACCATGGAGTCTTTTGAGGTTGGTCCACGCGGTTCATAAAGCGCCTCTTGATTTTGATGAATATAGTATGTACACGTTGATGTCGGTTGCTCATAACTAATATCGACTTCTTCGAGTGATTTCACCTGAGGAAGTGGCTTACCTCCAAGTTATTTAGAGGACGCCTCGAGGGCTGTCTTGTATCGAACTGGTTGACTCTGTCAGCGCCGAGACTCGTGATTGTTCGGTTTCGTCCATCAATTGTCTTGCATCTTCTATATTGTTGGTTCATCATAGTGACTGTATTGTTGCTGTCTCTTTCAAATGGAGAAAAACCCTATAAGCTTAGCGGTTAATGCATGTTTGGTGCATATAAGGGATTTGCAATAGAAGGTATTTCATCAGCCATCCTCTCCTTCAACGACGGGTCACGAAGCAGTCGTTGAGGGAGAGGTGGTTGAATTTTGCCGAACAGCTGTCTTACCGTGTGTCATCAAGTGTCTTGCAACCGATTTGATTTTGTTTCCTATCCGACTTGTTTAATTGATTTCTTGTGAGCAAGAGTGTTGTCTTACCGTGTGTCATCGAGTGTCTTGCAACCTCTTTGATTTTGTTTCCTATCCGACTTGCTTCATTGATTTCTTGTGAGCAAGAGTGTTGTCTTACCGTGTGTCATCGAGTGTCTTGCAACCTCTTTGATTTTGTTTCCTATCCGACTTGTTTAATTGATTTCATGTGAGCAAGAGTGTTATCTCCAAGTGATTTAGAGAACAGCTATCTTACCATAAAGTATCTTGCAACCGCTATGATTTTGGTTCCTATCCGACTTCTTTAATTGATTTCATGTGAGCAAGAGTGTTATCTCCAAGTGATTTAGAGAACAGCTATCTTACCATAAAGTATCTTGCAATCGCTATGATTTTGGTTCCTATCCGACTTGTTTAATTGATTTCATGTGAGCAAGAGTGTTAACTCCCAGTGATAAAGTTTCTTGCAACCGCTATGATTTTGGTTCCTAATGACGACTTGTTGAAGTGATTTCATGTGAGCAAGAGTGTTACCTTCAAGTTGTGTAGAGGAGGCCTGAAAGTGACTTTGCCAATCAGTTTCCTCACCTTCGCAATAGCTATGACTTCCGTTCATAATGTCGGCCAATACACTTCATCTGAGCAAGAATGGTACCTCCAAGTTATCTAGAGGACACCTGGGGGCTGTCTCCTGTTGAACTGATTGCCACTGTCAGCGCCGAGGGTTGTGTTCGTTTTCGGTTATCGACTATATTGCGACTTCTATGACGTTGCTTCATACTGTAGACTTGTCAAAGTGATTTTCTTTGATGAATAGGGTTCCATCCAAGGTACTTAGAGGACGCCTCGAGGGTTGTCTTCTCTCTAACGGATTGCCACCGTGAGTTCTGACACTAGTGACTGTCAGACTGACTAGTTTTCGTCCATATCGCGAAATATGGGTCAAACATTCTCAGGACTTTTTCGTCGCTGTCGCTTTCAAATAGAGCACAATATGAACCCAGATGGTTTGTATTTTTAGGTTTTGGCTTAAGGTAATCTGCCGGGGGAGTGGAGTAGTTGAGGTGAATCACGTCATTTTAAATACGCGTCATGCTTTGAATGAACTATTTCGGCACGGGGACATTCAAATGGAGAAGAACCCCATAAGTTTAGCAGTCAATGCATGTTTGGTGCATACAAAGGACTTGCAACGAAAGGTATTTCATCAGCTATAGAAAGAAGCTATCATCAACCACCCCTCCCCCATTTCGTAGGGGAGGGGTGGTTGATGATAGCGGTAGATTTTGATTGGGCGGAAACAACCAGCGTGCTGAATCTTACTGTGTGTCATGAAGTCTCTTGCAAGTGCTGTGACTGATGTATACGGAATTGGAAAATTCTGGAAACTTTGTTGATCTAATTTTGCTTTGGCTTGTGGTGATTTCTATGTCCATCGATGGAACTGGTTGCCATTGTTAGTGCCGAGGCTTGTGATTGGTCGTTTCGTCCATGAATTATCATGCAACTGGTATGTTGTTGGTTTAGGAAAGCGACTATGTCGTTGCTGCTCGTTGAAGTGGAGAGAAAACCCATAAGCGCAGCGGTCAATGCAACTTTGGTGTATATAAGGGATTTGCAACACATGTTATTTCAGCAATCACTCCTTCTCTACGAGGGGACACGAAGCTGGTGCCTCGTGCCCCTTCGTCGAGAGGGAGTTGATTGGCTTTTGCCGAATCAAACAATTTTGATTGGGCGGAAACAACCAGCGTGCTGAATCTTACTGTGTGTCATGAAGTCTCTTGCAAGTGCTGTGACTGATGTAGAAGGAATTGGAACATTCTGGAAACTTTGATGGTTTAATTTGCTTTGGCTTGTGGTGATTTCTATGTCCATCTATGGAAATGGTTTCCATTGTTAGTGCCGAGGCTTGTGATTGGTCGTTTCGTCCATGAATTATCATGCAGCTGTTATATTGTTGGTTCAGGAAAGTGACTATGTCGTTGCTGCTCGTTGAAGTGGAGAGAAAACCCATAAGCGCAGCGGTCAATGCAACTTTGTTGTATATAAGGGATTTGCAACACATGTTATTTCAGCAATCACTCCTTCTCTACGAGGGGACACGAAGCTGGTGCCTCGTGCCCCTTCGTCGAGAGGGAGTTGATTGGCTTTTGCCGAATCAAACAATTTTGATTGGGCGGAAACAACTAGCGTGCTGAATCTTACTGTGTGTCATGAAGTCTCTTGCAAGTGCTGTGACTGATGTAGAAGGAATTGGAAAATTCTGGAAACTTTGATGATTTAATTTGTTTTGGCTTGTGGTGATTTCTATGTCCATCTATGGAACTGGTTTCCATTGTTAGTGCCGAGGCTTGTGATTGGTCGTTTCGTCCATGAATTATCATGCAACTGGTATATTGTTGGTTCAGGAAAGTGACTATGTTGTTGCTGCTCGCTGAAGTGGAGAGAAAACCGATAAGCTCAGCCGTCAATGCAGCTTTGGTGTATATAAGGGATTTTCAACACATGGTATTTCAGCAGTCACTCCTACGAGGGGACACGAAGCTGGTGCCTTGTGCCCCTTCGTCGAGAGGGAGTTGATTGGCTTTTGCCGAATCAAACAATTTTGATTGGGCGGAAACAACTAGCTTGCTGAATCTTACTGTGTGTCATGAAGTCTCTTGCAAGTGCTATGATTGTTGTCGAAGGAGATGGAAAATTCTAGAAACTTCGTTGATTTAATTTGCATAGGCTTTGTGCTGATTTCTATGTCCATGTTGTTGTCCACAGGGGGACATATATCTTTTTCAGCAATGCGATGCGGTATAATGGGCCTGACACGATCTACTACAAGCAGGTAGTATTTTGTCTTTGTACGTAGCTTGGTTTATATTTGGTTTTTATCGATGCGTGTGTCTGAGTGTAATGCTCATGGTTAACCCCGTTTTAGATTACCTTAGATGGAGGTGATTTTTGTTTGTTACAGTTGGAGAGAGTTAAGACGTGAAGGATTTGTCAGGACTCGGTCTTACTCGAAGTTTCACATTATCGCAGGCACATGCAGCGAAAAGTACTGCAAACGCTAGCCCCTCTAACAAAGTGGAGCTGGATCTATTGCCGCAAGCACAGTACAGGTGACCACTATTCAAGCACCTGCAGGGTTGGTTGTTTCACCTGCTGCACCTTCTCACAGCTCCAGTTCTGCTGCTGCTTCCTGTGCATCTCCCGGGAACTCATCTGCTGTGCCTCTGAAAGTGACGAGTCAAGCTGGTGTTGACAGTCCTCCGTCTGGTAAAACGGGACAAGTATACTCTTCTGGAGCTTTCGGAAGACCATTCATTTCGTCTTCTAAAACCCCATCTGGTTCTGCATCTGTTTCAAGCGTGGCTAAGTCACCTCCCAAGCAGTCAACTTTGTCGCATACTGCGAACGCCGGTGCTGTTTCCACTGCCTCAAACGGAGGGGTCGTGACTAGTCCCGGAACGATGGCCGCATTTTCGTCCGCAGTGTCACAGCAGGTGCTGAGTGGTGTTCAAGCAGGTTCAGGATCCCTGAGTTTGCCAACTTCTTCGAGCCCTGGACATCAACCTGGCTCCTCCAATGTACCTACATCCGTGAGTGGCCAATCCGGCCATGCGCCAACGTCATCTAGTCCGATGTCGGGGGTGTCCAAGCCCAATCTGTTCCTTCTGGAGGAACAATGTTCAACAAACCATCTGGCATAGCATAAGGACCTATGAGCACCGGCAGCCCGGTCAAACTTTCGCCTGGCCCTTCAAAGTTGAGTTCTGGTGCTGTAGTCACTCAATCAGGGCACTCTCCAGCAGGTGCACAACAAGCCTTAGGAGGCGGTGCAAGCTCAGTGCCGAATAGTCCTGCCGAAGTCGGGCAGCTTGGGATCAGCTCGGGCACAATGACAAGCTTCTCCCCGGGAGCTCCCAAATCAAGTCTTATGGGAGGAACTTTCCCCAGTTACACTTCTGTCAGTGCCCAAGCCATTTGCATGGGGCCTGAAACGATCTATCCCTCACTGTCACAGACGGTATCAGCTGGCAGCAATATCTCCAGCTACCAGCAATCATCAACCAATAAGAAAACGGTTCAGGTACATGGCGTCTTGCCCAGCTTCGATGCAAGCGCTGTACAATCAGGTCTAACAGTAGGATCCATGTCCGGATACTCTTCCGGGACAGTCCGGACTGACTGGGGCCTCTAATATGAGTTTTTCCGCTGGCCCTGGTAATCCGGGCCCAGCTGTACTTATGGCGAGCTTTCCGTCCAGAGTTGCAGCACAATCAGATCGTCCTGCAGGTCTTGTAATGAACTACCCAACCGGAGCGTCCAAACCAGGACCCGGGGGGCTGAGCAGTTTGTCATTTGGAGTTTCTCAAACCGGCTTAACGGTCTACTCTCCTGGAGGGGGCCAGGGATCGGGGCCCATGGCCCAGTCGGTGCAGCAGCAGCAGGGTGCTGGTCCTTCGGCCGGGGCCGGGCAATTAGGTGCCATTGACATGAACCCCGAGAAGGTCTTACTAACAAGGGTGCATATTAGCGGAATCGCAAATGCAAAATCCGAATCGCAGGCACGAAGCGGGAGCACGAGTGGGACTGGCGCTGGGGCTGGCCCGTTGGTTGAGACCAAGAGCTCAGCGCTGACGCAGAATGTAGGAGGGAAGCAGAATCGGAGCATGGACGGCGCCGGTGGTTCGGCCGAAGGGCTGGCTGGTGGGGTTAGGTTGGTGTGGCCGAATTTGGTGGCCACGCAGGAGCAGGCAGTTCGGGCTATGAATCTAATTGCCGGGGGAAAGCCTTTTCCTAGGGACTGGACTCCCCAAATGATCCAGCACGCGTTCGCCATGTCAGCGGGAAGGGAGGACGGTTCCATGCAGGCCAACGTGCAAAAGTGGGCTCAAGAATGGGTCATGGGCGTCGCCCAACAGCAGGCCCAACAACAGGTCCAGTTGCAAGCCCAACAGCATGCCCAACTGCAAGCTCAGCAACAGGCGCAGTTGCAGGCTCAGCAAGAGGCCCAAGTGCAAGTCCAACAACAAGCGCAGCAACAGGCTCAGATGCAAACAACACCCAACAAGCGCAGCAGCAGGCCCAAATGCAGGCCCAACAACAAGCTCAGATTCAAGCTCAGCAGCAGGCTCAAATTGAAGCTCAGCAGCAGGCCCAGAACCAAGTCCAGCAACAGGCCCAAATGCAAGCTCAGATGCTAGCCTAGCAACGGGCCCAAATGCATCTCATTTAATTTTGAATTATTCTTAGTAATTCATGTATTAATTTATTGTATGTTCAATCATAATAATACTATGAAGTTGTATAAATATTTCAAATATTTGTCATTTGGCACAACTTGAAAAATCGTTTCATCTCGTTGCGGCCCATCATGAGAAACTTCGTGAATTTTTTTTTAATTCAATGGTGTGTGGGAAATATAATTAGTCTTCGTTAATAGCAATATCACCAATGTCCCATTCTTTTAGTGATGTGCATTCACTAAAAAATATATAACTATTAACAATATATTTATAACTTATAGGATCCCAAATCTTTATCTTGGTTAACTTAATATTTGAGTTAAAACATCACATCCAAACATTCTAAATAAAAATAACGTTTATGTCACATCTCAAACATGTAAACATCACATCCAAACATTCTAAAACAAAAATAACGTTTATGTCATATTTCAAGCATAATCTTGTAATTCGTTGCACTACAAGGATACATGTTTACCATTCCGTCGAAGGATTAATGGCTTCAATCCAAAGTCGAAGGATTAATGGCTTCAATCCAAAATCCGTAGTAAACAAGCATGGCTCAACATACTATGTGATCTAACAACGTTCGATTTTAGAGATTCAAATTTTGAGTCTCTAAAACACGACATTTTGCTATGGAGTATAAACATTGATGAACTGATGGATAACTTCCTCGTTTTCACAAAAAGCGTCAAACTTCTAGAATACGCACTTCCCGTTGTTAGTTGATCGCAAGAATTTCATTTCTCTCCTGTCTGAGTTTCAATTTGAACTTTCCACTTCTTATAAACGACAAAAATATTAGACTTGCGTGGAATCAAGTACATTTATAAATACCTTGAGTAGTTATGAATATACGGAACATAGTATTCTTTATCAGAATGTAAGATAACATGAGAAGTACCTCACACATCAAAATGAACATACTCAAAAACGGTATTGGAACTATGAACGCGAGTTCCAAAAGCACGTCGCATGTGTATTCTAAATACACAATATTCTTACAGTTAAACTTCCAAGACCTCAAGGTAGAAAATAAATTCTGTTTGTGTAAAATGTTCATAACTTTTTCACTCATGTGGCTAAGATTAGCATGTCACAATCTGATCTCATACTTCAATGATGTCGTGGCATTGGCCTCATAAAAAGTTGTAGACCTTTCCAATATGTATAACTTTTTTCGCTCGTGAGATTTCATTATCACGTTAGAAATTTTCTCAATAGTGACAATATCCATCAACAACTTTCCAATGAAAGACTCTCATGTGAATCTCCATGAGTGATATTAAATCTTTACACATACTGGTAATGTGCATAACATTCATCAATGTTAGTACTTTGCTATCAAACATTTGAATTTGAATGAAACAAATACCATCAATCTTACAAAAATCATCACTTTACATTAAAATTGAACATTGAGATGGTGCGTAAATAGTAAAAAATTCTTTGATAAAACACATGTGATAAGATCAAGCATAGTTCAAAATCCATTCATCTCTTCGGTGAGCAAAGATGTTCACAAGATATAACCTTTATCATTGTTGGTCACAACATTTGCAAAAGTACCAACATATTGCTCTCTTCTCTCGCGGTTCACTACGATAATCTTTTTTCATGTGATCCAGCTTGCCACACTTCTAACACTTCATCTCCTTTTTGTTGTCTTTCCTTGACTATGATAGATTTTGCGACTTGCTAACGCTAGTGGATCATTTCTCCAATCTTTCACGAGTGACATCGAGAGCAGTTGAAGAAGAAGAATTTGTTGAAGAAGAAACGAGTTTTTGTTGGATGTCGTCCGTCAACAAAGTTGTCACTACCTCGTTTTAAGTGATGTTTTTTTGTTTCAATAAAGCAACACACAAGATCAAGTATGGTATGAGGCTGGCAAGGAATTACAAAGCTGCAATGACTTTTTCTCATCATTGAGATTCTCACCTAGCTAGGTTCAAAAGATCCATCAATAAATCATTGAAATTATCAATATGGTTATGATATTTGTACCTTTGATCATTTTGAAGCTCATCAACTTTTACAATGTGACAAGTCGATTTGAAAACTTCTTCATGTGATGATTTGTTTGAAGCACTTGAAACATAGCTGTCACAGTCTTTAACTCCTCAACTTGTTTCAACACATTTGGATTCAAATAGAGAATCATAATATTCACAACTTGATTTTGAATCTCATTCCAATCCTCGTCATCAACATTTAGAGGTTTTGATATGAGAACCTTCTTCAAATCCATTGCCTTGATCACATTCTTGACTTGATGTTTCCATAGTAGATAGGCGATTCGACCATCAAAACATTCAATTTCAGACCTCGGTACATCAATCTTAGATAGCGCCAAAGATTTGATATGTCAATTTTCAATATGAGGAAGTTCCGGAATGACTTCAACATGATTATTCAAAAAAAAAGCTTGACTCCTCACTTTTGTTATCTGAATGTAGGGGTTCATCACATTCCGCAACAATTGGAACAAGTTTTGCTTCTCGCTCCAAACTACTCATGCCCAAAAAGCGCTCACAATGTTAACAATTCTCAACACTTAGCCTTAAAAATTGTCAAAAAATGGAATGTTTTCAAAATTGAAATATGAGATCATTCACGCGTAGATCACAAGCTAAGCCACTAAAATGTGAATTTTTTTTGTCAAAATCATCCAAGAGTAAAAAGTTAGTAACTCCATAGTTAAATGAGACAAAAACTTGAATCAAGACCCCCAAGGAAATCTTTACTACTTAAAATTTACACAAAGTTTATTTCCAAAACCGTCACTTGTATCGGATGGTCAACTTGTTTGAAAATCATCCTGCAAAATTTGAGCTCCATCGTACATAGTTTGCTTGGTCTAATTCACCAAGATTGTCAAAAAACACGCTCTCTGTTTGATTCCTTAACAAGAGCGTCTTTCACTTGAGCGTTTTTTCTTTTGAAGCCTCTTCCAAAATGAGTAATCCAGAGCCCCGTCCAAAACTCCTCAAACCCTAAATCTGCGGTTCGTCACTTCAAATTTGTGTACTTGTGAAACCGCCATAGCCAAATTCAACCTTTATCTTCAAACACCCATAACTTCGCAACTTCTAAACAAACTTTAGGTCAAAACAATCGTCTTAGAAAGTAGATCAAACATATGTGTGAAAATCTAAAAAATACAATGATGAAAAATTCAAATTGAGAAATCAAAGTGGTTTCTCTAACAGTAGAATGCAAGATATCTATCTGCTTTAAATTTGAAATTTGAGGATATCAAATTTGTAGAATTAGAGTGCCAACAATCAAATAATCTACTCCAACGTTATACAAGTGTGGCATCCGCTGCCAAGGTTTCGATATAGAAGTATGGAAAGAGATCAATTATTTGTTCACTTAGCTCTGAAGTTATGTGTATAGATTGAATTTTTTACATATTTGTTAGAGAATGCATGGAATTTGGCACATTACTTTCTCTAGCCTACATTAGAGATCGTGTATATTTTTTATGTAGAGAAAGCGCATTTGAACCATATTACACTATAAACTTAGGAAGTAGATGCTTTTGCTGTATGTGGATAGTTTCATCTTGATACTTGAAACAAATAGATGTGATATGATATACATCGCATTGGAACTAGTCCATATGTTCATTATCGTTTTATGTCCTATCCTGTTTGATGATTTCTTCAACTTTTTTAATATATATATGTATATATATATACATACATATATGGCGTAATGGATCAGTGATGCAGGCTTCGATGGTTCCAATAAAGCAGTGGTAGTGTTTAAAATAAAGTAATAGATGTATTATACATATATGTATAATTACACTCGTTGGATTTATACTCAATTTACGGGAAATTCCATTATGTATGTTTAGAAAAAAAAGTATCATCTCGTGTGTGTCTCCCGTTTTTTATATTTCTCGAGGTTTCAAAGTCTTACAAAGGTTTTCTCTTTTCTAAACCTTATATTATACCATCAAGGACGGTCAATATATTACGGACGTGACCGCATCTTTCACAAGGCCTTTGTGTACCTAATTCATGACACCCTTCAAGTCGCTAGATACTAATCATAGTACAACTAGAATTTGGATCACGAGGTCATTACCAGCTCAGGTTTTGCTAAGACTCCTCATTGACAGTGACAGCACAAAGATCCAAAGCATCAGGATTCTCTTGCGGTTCACGTCACTGACTTGTATCTGCACCACAAGCTTGTCTACAAAAATCCAATTTTGCATGAAGCTCTCCAAGGTAGCTTCTGGCATCTGCGGCGTCTCAGAATTTAGAGCCCCGAAGGTAGTGCTGAACTTCCTAAGGCGGCTTGGCACTAACAGATTCCTGCCGAAGTCCTCCTTTTGGTTGACGGCGACAGATACTTTACGACTTCTCGGGCCCTATGGGCGGGCGGGCAGACGGCATGGTACCAAATTAGGCCGGCGGCGTTGGCGATCTTTCCTCGTGAGATACTTCAGAGACGGAACGCAGCGCCAGCCTTCAACTGAACCATCATGATCTCGGCCAGAGGACCACTCGGCACTTCTCAAGGAGGGCAAAGATTGCTTCTTAGCCAACAGTGTGTGCTCGTGCTTTTCAATACACGCGAGATTCTATGCTTCGTGAGAAGTACTGCTCATCCACGTACAGTATGTTTCATCGCACCAACGATTTTCGTAAGATTCGCAAATATCCGCTTCCTCGTTTCAAGTTGATGCCTCGTTTCAAGACACTGTCTCCACCAGACAGTGATCATCAACAATGCAGGTAACGTGCAGATGCATTTGATGAGTTCACTGGTACTCCATGTACTCAGAAGTCGACTTGAACACAGAAATGGGAGCCTCTGTGTTCAAGTGGGGTCTGAATGACTACGAGGATTGTCAAGCACCTTCCAGAGCAAAAGGACCTACTGTGTCCCTTCGCATTCCCACACGCGAGTCCGTACTTAGTCTAAACTTACTCTAGCCAGTGATACTGTATATAAATAATTGCAACCAAACACAAAGAACATCACTGCAGAAAGAGTTTATGTAGCAAGGGTTTCGCTGTGGCTAGGCATCTTCAGAGTTCAGTTTGTTTATCTTCGCCCATTCATGCGGCTTCACAAAAGATGTGTATTCACACGATATCTTGAGAAGTGCCATTGTTAAAAATATAGTCGTGTCCTTTCAGTTATAAATCCTGTTAAGTTCCAAGCTTCTTTTCGTTTGTATAAAATCTTTAGGCGACAATCAATTTGCATGTGCATGAAGGACTGGAAGATCTTTGGTCGACACCTGGAAGAAATCTTCCTTCGTCTCATATATTACTTCTTTTCTCCTTTTCTCTCATGTGTCTTCTATTTCTTCCTACCCTTGTTTGTTACCAGTTGAACCAAGGCTTGTGGTCTACGGCTGCCAAACGATAGTGAAATGCATACTCGTCACGAGCTAGGAGGGAACAATGCGAGTCCACACCCAGAGAAATTCAAATACCGATGTGGAGCAACTCATGTTGCCCATGAGTTGCTCCACATCTCATGGGCAACATGGGCCTCGATGTTTCAAACTCGAAGTTGTTCACGCTCGGTTGTAGTGATCACTTCAGTAGTATGGGAGTTGTTATCTGAAGGATGTGTGCAGACTTCGGCGCAAACCACTTTATACTTAGGACAAGCATGTCAGCAGTCTCGAGGCTTTTTGTCAACATTGATGAGAGGAAAAGACAGATAAATTACTGCTAACTTCAAATTTAATTCGAGGCTGGCGACAGATTGTTCCACAAGCAAGAATTAAAGCCTATCATCGAATCTTCACGGCCTTGTGGTACTCGTCGTGTATTCATAGAATGCTCTTTTGTAATAAGATGTGGGAAAAAACTATGACTTTGGATGGATCACCGAAGGAGGCGTTCTAAAAACAAGGTCAAAGGCAAACTACCTTTAAGGGTTTAAGGGTTTAGGCTTTAAACCCTAAACCCAGCATATGGCTACTGTTTCCAATAAAGTATTCCATCATAAACTCCATCTACTTTGTCACGATGTTGTATTTATCATTAATGTGAAAGTACCTCTTTCGGGAAGATGTTAGCTCTATCCAGAAACAAGTATTCTCACGTTAACATGTATTCTCGTTACACATCTCACAATAATGTAGTGATATCATCATTCCGGCCTCTTACTGTGATGTCTGCAATTTTCAAATAAACTTTCGATACACAATAATAAATCGAGCTATTGCTACTTTGAAAGCTAAGTTATTTATGTCATCTATGTTAGCGTAAAGTACATCAACATATTACAAATTAAATGAAATATACTTTATTGTGATATTATTGATGACTAGCTTAAAGTTACTCATTTAATTTTATCTTTATGCTATTTGATGAAATTCTAACATTTTTTAGCATCTCCTTGATCCATCCAAATTTAACTATTGAGATTTAGTAATGTTTATCACAAGCTATACATACAAATACTTAATTATGCTTTAACTATGTTTGAAGTATAATTCAAAACTTGCTTATTGTGACATTCATATGTTATACTTAATTTAAATCACGTAGAGATGTTAATGTATGAAACTTTCTATTGAAGGTTAACATATTTAATTCTCCCATTAATTATATATTTAGTTTTTTCTGTCCTATGACATTATGAAATTTAAATTATTATCGATATATCAAATAATAAAATTATTTTAAATAAAAAATAGGATTTATGTTTCATTTTATACTCTTTTACTCTAAAATTGATTTTCATGTGATTTTTATAAAAAATTTCAAAATTATTAGAAATGTAAAATTATAATATTATACATTGAAGGTTTTAAAAGATTTCCAAACAGAAAATTGCAAATGGTTTTTGAAGGTAATTCTGTAAGACTTGCAATCAACAAGCATCATCATTTTATCAGAATGTGATGTTTGCCGACTAATATTAATCATAATAGTCACAAAGATACATCAATTAAAAAATGTAACACCTATCTAGAAAATAAGTCCTAATGACATGAAAGTACTATTGAAAGACTAACAAGTAAACATGATCTTTTCAATATAGGAGAAGAAGAAATCTTTTATGCTTTCAAGATTCTTAAAAAGATTTGTTTGCTATATACTGCCAATCGAATATTGCAAATATTTGATAGGGTGCAAAACAAACTTGTTTGATAGATGACTGACATGGACCTTATAGGGTCAACGATCAAAGCCCTAGCGGGTGACTTCTTGAACACATAAACTTTACAGGCTATCAGTGTCCACATTCGAAAAGCTGATCTGTCTGGCAAGATACACGAGGTGACACCAGATCTGCATAATCCATGTCTTGGCTCATTAATCGGAACATCCAACATATCTTGAAGCTATTTCTCATTGTTCCTCGTGTAGAACCAGGGGCACAGATGTGGAATTATAAAACGGTCACGTAGAATCTGATTTTCAGCAATGTGCACACTGGGAAACCATGGCATTGTTCATCCATCAGTTGACAGCTCAGACAATCGACTCCATGCAAGAAACAGTTATATCTGCAACAATAAGCTCAGATTGTAACATCAGTGGGTCATAAACAGTCATAGTCTAAAGGCCAGATTTGATCTACTTGTGATTAGTGTGACCTGCCGCATGACTTTGTACACTCACTTCCCCTGCTTGAATAAGGATCTATGAGCTTGAAATCAGTATGAACGCCAAGAACGTGAGATGGGCACATTCTGGGCGTGATCCAGTTCATAATTACAGAAAGGAAAAGACGAGAAGGACTATTGACAATTCCAATCAGGAATGAGATTAGCACACACGAGCATAATCATTTGACAAGTGTCCAGCTTGACACTACAGTACATGCTTGTTGTTGTGACCGGCCGTGAAGAAAATTTAAGAACGTAAATCTCGGCGTGATTCCTAGAGCGTGCATGCGCTACACCAACTTTGAGTAAGGGTGGCTGCGCTTACCATCCGAAGGGGACCACAGCCAGACTCCTCCGTGAAAAGGATTCGGCACTAAGAAGATTCCAAGGTCACACACAAGGGGGTGTTGCTGAACTGTGGAAAATGACAGAGAGAAGTGTACCGGTGACCGGTCAAATTGTTTCTACTTTGACAGCCAAATTCCGACATCGTTGACGTTACCACCCGGCAAGGGGTGACGAAGAGAATGAGGGCAGGTTTAGAGACTGAGAGTGTTACAAGCCTGATTTCTCGGATGAGCGAGTTTTGAGAGATTACACAATTCATTATAAAGCCATTTCAGCTGAGAGATTAAAAGTACAAAGTTTTAGGCCAAAGCCGTGCATCCCAATGTGTCCCAAGTGCTGCTGTTGAGACCATTCTCCAGCTACTAATCCATGCTGAGAAACCACTTCGAGAGTAGTGCAGATCTTCTTGGACAGGGAGATGGAACGGTGGCTTTGGAAAAATTGCGGCCTGATCTACATGCCCTAACGGGGGCTTCAGCCCCATTCTGATTGAGAAATGAACAAGTCCACACCCTCTAACCTAAGGTCCACTGGCAAGAATCCCAAATTCATGTCGTCTCACGGCTTATGAAAGATCTCATGTTTGTACCGTGGTGAATGCACAAAAAGCAACGACGTTCCATCTTTTTCCGCAGTGAGGTTACCAGATCCTCCGGGTCTTCGAGAGCAGTGCTGGTCTGGTAGGTGCTTAGACGTTAGCAGCAATTTCATGGCAGTTCTTTGGATGTACTTCGTAAAATCCACGTATTCTGCAGTAGGATTCATTTCGAGTAGTCCTCTGTAATTACTCAAAGAACACCCACAAAAACTCGGGGTTCACATGCATGCGAGGGGTGATGGGTTTGGTGAAGTCCTTCAAATTGGCGCATTGCTTTGAGACTTCCTCGAGCGCTTTGGGTGATAATGCCGTGCAGCAAGCCAGGTTCAGTGACTCGAGCTGGCCACAACCTCGGGCTAGATGGGCTAGTCCAAGATCTGACAAACTCGTCTTCTTCATCTCCAAATGCTTCAGTCTAACCATGTGCTTGGAGACGACGATGGCCTCCTCGTCACCGCCGGGAATCGGTCCAGTGGGCATGAAGTCCTGCTTCTTGAGCATATTGCGGCCCAGCCAATTCAAAGCTGGGCAATTGCGGCCAAATGCTTCGAGCGCCTGGTTCGAAATATTGTAGCAATCGCTTACGTCCAAGATTTGCAGTTTCGGGCAATTGGCCGCCAATTTTGTGGCAGACTTGTCGGTCACCGAAAGGCTGTTAGGCATAGCTAGCACTGTAAGAGACGGACATCTGCAAAATGGAGCAAATCACGGATCAGTTTTTGTCCTGAGCGGGCAGAGGCTGCAAGTTTCGAGGTGAGTATACACAGCCTGACAAACAGACTACAGATGTTGACCGTCGGATGGGCTTTCCTGCTCTCAAAGCAACAGTTCAAGAGTGGGAAAGTTGCCGTAAGAGCAAAACGAAGCACGAGAAAAAAGGGGATTGAGTTGCACGGGGCGGGGCACTACCTTTCGGCAATGTACTCAATGCTGCCATCCGAACAATGCATAGTTCTGAGTTCACGGAGCTGGCCACAACTCCGATCCACGACTTTCTTGACGAGGAACTCGACCTTGGACTCGCATTCGAACTCCCACCAGTAATCTTCTTCCACCCGTTTGTGGAACCACCCATCCATGTCTACCTTTCTCCAGCAGTAAGGATCGTACGATGCATCTCTCCAGTTCTTGCAAACCAGAGGCACCGTTTTCAATCTTTCCTCGAACGGAAGCCGGCTGAATACTTCAGACAAAGCTTCACCGAGGAGATTGGCCCACGGGCCCTCAGGTGCTACGGGATCTGGTCTACCCTCCCCGAAGTCTACCTGCATCTCGTCCATGTCGTCCTGTTGAGCTTTGCAAGTCATTCTCTTCGCAAGGAGACGGAGTTTGCTGAACAGCCCAATCTTGCCTACTAGGTGAAGCGAATTTCTCAAACTCGGACGCACCAGATCAACCCAAAAACAGGTGAAATCTGCTGCCAAAATCACAGAACACTCTGCCTGCTCCTCGGACTACGACCTCGTTACCTAAGCAAATTGTCGCAACTATATCGCACGCCTCCAACGGCTAGCTCTTGTTCTCTTTGCAATGAAAACCTTTCAATTTCTCACGCTCTCGACCTCTAAAGCGTACAAATTAATCAATCTTCCCCCACATGGCCACATCTCCTTCTAGATGAGTCAATTGCAACCACTGACACTAACGCAAATGCTCCGTGCTTCGGCCGGAACTTCCCTGTGCTACTCCTCCTCCTCCTCCCTCCTCTGCCAGACTGCGACAACTGCTCTGATCGCCTGGGGGCACTCTCAACGCCAACAACATCGACAACGTTTCCTTCCCGATGCTATCACTCTCTCTTCTCGCTCCCTGCGCTGAATCGCAGAAGCACACGACCTAAAATGATCTTCTGGCGCACAGCGAACGCACATGACACAGCTGACTCTTTGTTCTTGTATATAGGACGCTGCATGCATCTGGATTGTCTGGGTGCCTAAAGTCCCAGCAGGTGATGTTTATATGTTGCTTGCACTTGCTCTCTCTCAATCCCAGCGCGCAGGACACCGAAAGCTCGCCTCAATGATAGGGTCGCATCCAGGGGAGGAGTAAAGAAGAGCGCGGTAATTCCAAGGGATCCGAAGCCTGGAGTTAGTCCACTAACTGGGCGGAATTTGGGCCAGCACGCAGCCTATTGCGTTGGGTCGGGCCTGTTCCTTCCGGCCGACCGGGACGTGGAAGATTGTCACTACTGACCACGTGGGGTCTGCACATCGACCTCAGGCTAACCCGCGGTTAAAGTATTGATTCATGGAGACCTCTTGCTGTATTGCACCATCGTTGTTTGAGCTTTACGCGCTTTTATTTAAAGAAATAGTACTTTATTCCGCTGGCGATTGTGTTCCATGCTTTGTTTTATTTCGGCATCTCTGGATCCTCATCGCCTCGCCTCACCTCACCTCCGTTTCCTTCAAATTGAGGGTACGCCTTTTGAAAGTCCACATAGTCGCTCCGGCGTCCGGAGAATCAGATACTTTGGGCGTGGGTTTGGCAGCGGAACTGCTCCTTTTTCCCCAGAGCATCAAGACGGATCTGGGAAGAACCGATGAGCGAAGGCTATGGGGATGTCTCGATCGCATCTGATTCGCCCTTGGCTTTATCGGCTCCAGGTCACATGGGGGCGATATGCTGTAATATAAAAACCTAATGCATTCTTTTAAAGATTTTTGAAGGAAAAGAAAGGGCAAATCAAACACATGATTGGCATAAGATTGAAGATGCACTTGATGCCATCTTTTCTTTGATGATCAAGGTCGCACATTTGACAGAGCTCAGACAAATCTGTCGAACTTGTGGCAAAGCAGTCACATGCAGTTGACCTTCACTTGATGATCGATCCATGGGCAGCGTATTGATACGGTTAATCAACAGTGACATGTTCGCCATTATGCTGCCCTACAATCTAATCGTATGAATATCAAGGCACTACGAAATCGCAACAAAACAAGGGCATGTGACGGAACTCTTGTTCTTTTCAACAGATAGCTGAATACGGGTCAGTTCGAATATTATCCGAGAACTTGACTGCTCAGTTACCCTGCTTTCTCTTCCCGAAGATCCTCTTTCTCGGTTGCCCACTGTCCGCCTTCCTCCTGATCCGTTATTTGTAGCCCTGTCCTTGTGTGGAACTTGTATGCAAACTTTGCAAAGCGACACCTTCAGTCAAGTGCTTATCCCTCCTTGACTTTCGAGCATGCAAGACGGTCGAAACTGATGTGGATTTCTAGCTCATCCCAACCGACAGGCTGACAAGACTCATCTTTGGTTACGGCAAACCATAAAACAAACCAGAAATTGGGAAACAATCTCCACCTTGCTGAAACCGTATAGGGAACCAGACCGGAGCGAAGTTGATGGCCTGAGTATTCAACGCCTGTCTACCTAACAAATTAGAGAGACCCATGCGCAGTCATCCAATAGTGCTCCTGCGACACCTCAAAATCACTGCAGTAGCTTGAGCGTCAAGTGCTACAAGTCGTGCCTAACCTTCCATGGAGGGTTAGGCAGTAACATTCTGTTGGTTTCAAGATGTGAAACCAGGACGAATTGCAAGAGGCTACAAGTTCTTCTGTGTGCCAATACGACTGCACTAATCCACACTTGACTTTGACATGACAATGCTCGTCGCATACTTGAAATGTCCATAATTACGAAGCCTTCGTGTTCAGTTAGTATTCAGGATAAAACAAATTCTTTTGATACTTCTTTGGGATTGGGATATCATCAGTCGGATAAAAATGGTAAATGGTAATAGACTAAGCCCGGGGGTCAAAAGGCTGAAAAACACACTGCAAGCGAAAACCACAAACAAAGAGAAAATACCCCAAAGATCCCAAAGATAAGACTGAACACCACTCATCATTTAATCCTTGGGCTATCTCCAAACCTCCATAGACCTCATATCTTTTGAACCTGTCCACTCTGATTTGCTCTTTAGCAGAGTTGAAATTTGCAGTGCTGTTTTCTAAAACAGTAAGAAGAAAGCAGATGTTGTTTAAATGCAACCGACTTGATGGGAATCATTGCCATCTTCATTAACGCATCATTTGATCTTCTGCGACATTCACGGTGATATTTTAGCTTCAAAGTCTTGCATCGCTTCGATCCACTCGGACTAAGTTAGAGTGTTGCTAAATGTATGCCTCTTCATTGTGCAAGTACAAGGGGAGCCTCTATTTAAATGGTACAGAATTTGAATTCAACCATGAGGAAAGCAATATTTGCACCAGAATTTGTATCCTTGGCGTGGAACAAACATATGCTATTGGAGGCTATAATGTCATATCTTTGAAATCAGTCTGAAATTTGAGTTTAAAGTCACTAACTTCGCTTAGTACGAAAACTCATCTATACGACTCATTTTTTGATATTTAAAAATGTGGAAAATATTTCATATGCACTGTCTTCGTTGGGCCTATAATGACTGGGACCCTGTAAATCATCATCGATATGTCATTTTTCATATTTATCAATGCTAGATTGTAATCATTCGATATGTTTTACTGTCAAGATATTTAAATACTTACTTACTGTAGAGAAATAATATTTATGGAGTGTTGTATAAATATGGCATACTTGTGAGACAAGAAAATATTTATTGATAAAGAATTCTTCAATAAATCAGTACTGAAAATGCACGAATAAATATGAAAACTTTGATTTCATAATGAGCGTAGGTATTGAGAACTAACAATCACATGAATCGACTACGATTAATGAAAAATTATATCTATACATATTTGGTCTATCTAAAAACTTCTTATGTTTAGTACTTAGACCAGCAACGGATGCTTTCAAAATATATCGCAAGTTTTAACTCTTACTGTTTACAGAACACAGATTGGAATCAGCTTCGTAGTTGGTACCTTGCAACCTCTATAGGCGGGCAGAAATTAGATTTCTCACAGAGATCCAACATATTATATTACAACAGTGTGAACTTAGCAAGACGGCGAGGTGCTCTACTGAAGAAACTGTGTAAGAGAAAGTGGATACACGATTCTTGCGATGGGCATTTGACAGAAAATCCGCCTACCAGACACTGATCGACTGTTCTGCCTGGATCATGCCATTAATCACAACAAAAGTGTACAGTACCAGGAGTTCTACTTGGCGTTCCGTACCCGTAACACAGTGGCTACTTGGGGCCCCTAAAAACCCGCCGTCCGTACTATTAAATTTTGACACGATCGTCGTAGAAAACGGCACGAATGAAAACAGTGATACACTCATCGAATTTTAACCAAAGGTTTCAATGTACAGTAAGTGGAAGGACAACTCGGATACAGTATTCCTGTGCAAAACTAAGAACACGCTTTAAAATTTCGACTGTAATATACAATACATATATTCATATGTTTTGACCTCTTGTCGACCATCACTGGATTATCACCCACTTTTAGATTGTGTAAAGGTATTTAAAAAACCCAGTCACCCCAAACCACGTACAGTATAGTTCGATCTAATCCTATTCGAATACAAGATATATCCTTACTCTCCTCTCACAGCAAAGATCACAGCCTTACTTGCATCGTTGGTCAAATAGCAGTGCAGAAATTGTCATATAGATATTTGCTGCATATAAAATAACATTCACATGTAAACATATATGGATGGACTTATCAAGTTAGCAGAGAACCTCCTCCTTGTTGGAAAACTAGACGGTGCAAATCAAAAAACCATGATGCATGATCTAGTCAGGTTCCGGAGCAAAGAGCATGATTCCAAAACCAATTCTAATAGCAAGATAAATGTCGGATCCACGAAAAATGTGTGAAAGGTCCATCAAAGATAGAATATAGGTCTCAATATTTGCCAGCCAATTAGGCAAGGCGGAAGATAAGAGATTCATGTTGTACCTAGGGGCTAGAGTGTCATTCATATTTATTGAAAAATGACCTTGTATTAACAACCCTCTCATGGACATATATGTGCCATGAGTAAACAAACATCTTGAAGGTAACAAGGGTGCCTTGAGGTCCGGTTAACATAACACCTGGTGCGACAGGTGCACGCACTCGTAAATACAATTTGAGTAGAGAAATAGTGCAGGCAAACCCAATGATAATAATAATAATGTGTCAACGTTGCACACGCAGCTTGTTTCGTCTTCTTCGCTTAGCCCCAACGAAAGATTCCATACGAACTCGCGTCTTTTCTCTGAATGAACGCAAATCTGACCGAGGTACGAGGCACTGTTGAAGGACGTTGGGGACAAACGGGAAAAGGGATCCAGGAAATAACAATGGGGGAAAACGCAAAAGGTAAAAACGAACAAGTAGGTGAATACATGTGAACTGATTCCATTGTGATTCTCTGGGTGCATAGCCCATCTTACAGCAACGGGTTCGACCGGGTACTGTTTGATGGGGTCTTCTTGTCCCTTCTGCTACGTTATTGTTTCCCATTCATGAAAGGAGAAAGATTCTTCTAGAAGCTCTCGGCGCATCGGCGGGACAAACTCGCGGTCTCGGTTACCCGGTCATTTGCATCAACCGCAAACGTCCTAATGAGTCGAGTTGCCGGAGTCCAGACGCAAGACAGCAGGCTGGCAATAATGCGCGCGCAGTTCGTACGTCGAGGCGTGGTTCTTCCCTCTGTGAAGACAGGAGTCAACCGATGTCGTTATGCGAACTCCGAAGTTCCGCAAAGCCGCAAAGCTAGAAGCAGCCGGTTCCCTGTACACTGTGTCGGTGCGACAGGAGAAGGTTCAATCAACCTGCTGGACCGGGCAGAACGGCGATTCTCTCGGGCGACGTTAAACCACGTCTATTCAACCTACTGCGAAAAGCGACGCGTAGTTCAAACAACTTCCGATTTCGATTTCAAATCGGTGCGGAGCAGAGATATTCTTCTAGAAGCGGATGCAAGTCGTCCGTTTGCCTTAGCCATCCGTCGGAGCGAAGTTTTCCGATGAGTGCCACCTGCGGGAGAGGGCGAATTCCGTCTCTTGCGAGGCAAGCCGACGACGACGTCGTTCCGAGTTTCCAGTCGAGCGATTTCGGAGAGGTATTTGAGTTCGGACTGTTAGTCAACAAACGAACTCAAATATTGAAGGCCGGGAAAATATTCTTCTAGAAACACTCGTGTGGCAGCGACTGGGCTAGGGCCTGTGAGGCTTGGCCTACTCACAATCGTCTCTGGATAGAGTCAAAGTCTACAGACGTAGAGGGCGTCCGTAGCCTGGCGAATCTGCGGGCAACCGAACCGCTTTTCCCGTGAGTTAGCGAGAGGCGAGAGGCGCGGTTCAGGCCTAGGCCCGAGTCCGCTGCAAGGCAAAAGGTGGTGGAATCCATCTGGAAGTTCCTCATATGGAAACATCAGATCAGTTCCCGCGTATTCCTCCTGGTGCCATGCATCTTCGCTTTCCTCTTCGAGAGGGGGGTTGCTCCAGCTGCAGGTTACGAATGAAAGGACTGCACTCGAGGTGCATGACCATGATTGGGATGATGCCCTGCGATGTGAGGTCGACCTACACCCTGATCTCCCCTTTCTTGAGACGGACGAAGAGGTCTGAAACATGGAACAAAGGCAGGCGCATGGACTCGGGGACCACTGACATAAGGCTGTTCGTGACGGAAGGCGCTTTTGTCTGCTTTGTTCCGAATCCGGGCCCTGAGGGAAAAGATCTAGCAGACGAAAGCCAGTAGAGTCTGGTAGCACGATGTAATTAACATTATCCGTATGGCAGAAGAGGGTAACCTGAAACCGAAGTCTCCTTCTTGTCAGGCATTGTCCAGTTTCTGGAAGGGGGAGAAGATTCACTGTCCTTGAAAAGTCATGGATGTCGATAATGCATAGCATCCGACTGTGCGAGGGTGAACATAATCCTTCTACTGGACTCTGGAGTAGACTTGGATCATGTTGTCTAGTCCGTGGTTGAAATACTTTTCTCCCCCTTAGTTTTCAGCTACTTAGATACGTGTTGGTCGTTTACTGCTTCGGACTGAGTTCACAGGTCATGGGCAAATTTCCTACGTCAGGTTTTTTTAAACCATTATTGCAAGTAAATGTTTTTAATTGTCTTCATTCTCATCCTCAATGATAATTCACAATGGGATATATGCATTCTTGATAGTATATGTTCGATTTTGTCTTCTCAATTATGTTTCTAAACTTATGCATTCATTATATATGTTGTTAATTTTTACAAGTTCAAATTGTTTTTTTGAATTCAAGTATCTTATAAATCATTTCGTTTTAATATGTTCCAAGATCTTGTGCAAATTCATGGATTGCATAAAAAAATTTCATTCATTTTTTGTTTTAAAATCTTAATTTTTTCTATTTTCTTTCCAATCTAGTTCTTGCACTTACATACATACAATATTAAATTTGATAGTCAAATATTTAACCTATGAATTGTATGGTGACTTTCATTTGTGTGGGAACAAAGCAACTATTAACCAAGATATATTTTCAGTTACCACATTATCTTACAAACATGCAAGCTGTAGTATTATCTCCGGCAAAGGTAGGGAAAAGGCGACCTTTTTTCGAAGATGGCCACACAACGCTAGAATAAGAAAAAATGTCCTGAAGAGGTGAGCAACCATTCAAAACTACAGAGCTAGAGAGGCCAAGAGTAGTTAAAAGCGAGAAGGAAAAGTCGAGGGGCTAGGGTGCACAACAGACAGACGACCGGAGACCGGAGATAAAGTCGAGACTCCACTGTCAAACTAGCGGAAAATAGAGATGGAATGGATGTAGTTCAGACCAATCCATGTCTCACAAACTCCAGCTGTTTCAACGAGCTTGCTTCAAGCTCAAAGGAACTGCATGGCTCAAATTGGCATTGATACCATCAGATGACCTCAATTGAAACTTATATTGACAGTTTATTCTCATGAATGTGCATCCTCGTCTTCGAGGATGTTTCCTGCTACAACCGTACATTTCCACGCTTTCGTGTTGAGCTTGACTAGCCATGGTGGAAATCTTGCTGTGACCCATCACCGTGATTACAGTTTTGAAGAGGAGATATTCACATGATTCGTTTTCTAACCAAGCACAACATCCATCACACAAAATTGAAAACCGGCGACGAGATAAACAAGTCCATTCTCACAATCTTTGGCTTTGAGAAACTAACATTTGCTATTGAAGATGTATAAGAGAGATTAAACTGATAAAAGAGTTTAACTAGATAATGGGGAATAAATCTATTAAGTTCAGCCACATCTCCAATTAAAGGTTTGTGTTAGGGTTGACTCCTGTCGGTTATGTTGCCGGGAAACTCTCGTTAAGCGTCAAGGCTCGGTTCTATGAGTTTCTAACTACTAAGGGCGGCGAGACTTACCTCACGCCCTTGAGCATTGTCTCAGAGAATCGACAGTCAATCTCTTGTGTCCCGGGGAGTAGTCGGAGACGAACCACGTGTATCTTGAGTCGAGCATGTTTACTCATTGTGCTATTTTGTTCTCGTTTTTTCCAGCAACAGTTTGTGCCCCCCTTCAGTTGACAACTTTTCAAGAATAAATCAACAAGTAATACATATATCAAAGTAATAAGGAGATGCATTACTGAAGAACCAACCCATTCCGCAGTCAGAACCATGTCTTCAGATTTTCTAAACAAAATGATATGATTAAAGCTTCTATATAAAAATTTGAAGAATACATCATTATTTAAAAACTTAAAACTTAAAATTTAAATTTATCTATTTATTTAGGAATTATTATTTTTAATTTAATCATGAAAGTAATTAAGGAAAATACGGTCATTAATCATATCTTTGTTTAATTCTAGATTTTTTAAATAATAGCAATAATGATCTATTTTTTTAACCAAATTTTTTTTAAAAATATGACATGAATATTTGAGATCTTAATGAAATATTAAAATTAATGAAAATGATAGTTATTTGATTTTGGTATTCTAATGAAACTGTGGTCTTGTTGGAAGAATAAACAAAATAATTTTGTAAGTTATAAGATAACATTCACGGCAAAAAAAATTTATTTTGGGAAAAAAAGTAAACTTTTATTTAGAATTGATGTGTAATTTTAATTGTAAATGATTGTTATTAGAATATTCTTTTATGTCCAATAGATATGATCAAATATGAATCAGTTTTGCACCAATTTAAATTCATATTCATGAATCTAAGCATATAACCAATTGGGTATACTGCCTTTTATTTTGTAGGAAACTTTTTGTGTTACGAGAATGTTTCACCTGATTTATTAAATAGTTGGACAACCGTTTTGACATCATATTGCAAAAGGAGAGATGATCAACAGATCACGCGTTAATACGTTTCACACATAAGAAGCAACAAGGCCGGCAATGGGTTTGTTTAGAGAGAATTTTATCTGCCTAAAATTTTCTCAAGGTTCAACGATGCATGAGAGTTCATCTTCACGTTTGCAAGATTTTCCCAAGCGAGTGTGGTGAAATTGGCTCAAGTGAGTGGCTCTACAATTCTAGACTCGTCCTGTGAACTGTCGATCTGAACACCCCGGTACATACATGTCAGACCATGCTCATAGGCAATAACTAGTTCTTGTCTCCAACCCAGTAGGTCGCAAGCAGTCTTTTCCCCATCTGAGATTGCGTGTCCATAGCTATATCCACCAGGATAGAAATCCTCCCCGTCCCTGCAAAAGTCACGATTCTATACACGAAGCGGTCCCATCTACTCCCACGGTAATGGAAACTTAAAGTCGGTGGTGATCTGATCCTTTTGAAACTTCGAATTTCACATACATCTACAGCGTTCGATTTTGCGAAGGCTGAGAATCATGGAAGATGGCGCCGAGGGCCCGAATACCTGCAGAAGGTTCTAATTTGTCAAGAATCAAGATTGACCAAGCGGACCAACGAACGGACCGTTGTGGAGATCAAGAACACTTTTGGGTAATAAAATCTGCTCCTGCAAGTAATGATCTCTTGCATGCAACTATAATGATCTAGTTTTCTCTAAGCCTCCCGTTCGTTGCTTTCTCGTTGTCACTGTTGTAAAATCTCGTTTCCTCCTCGGATCTTCTACGAGCTTTCCTCCTTTACTTCTGCCTCTTCAATTTCCTCTCGTCGTACTGGAAATGTTCTGCACATGTAAAAGTCGGAAAGGTTTCCAAGAACTATCGCGATAATCCCGATTCCCGGCACTGCACTCGCACTCCCAAACTGTCTAGCAGTGTGTCTGGCCCACTTCGAGGTCTCCGACCCCGCAATTCGAGGACCGGCCGGACCGGCCGGATCAGCCCGTGGGTTTCGCATGCAGGACGCCGTCGTGAGGTAATAAGAGACATGACCGGATACCCACCCGGTGACCGGTAGAAAATCATCCGTATTCACGGGGCCCACAAGGGGCTTCGTCCTTCATTGGCGAATATCAGCGCGCGAGTTTATGAAAGCTGAAGTGCTTCGATTCGAGCTTTGCTGACAGTGCCCAACGAGGTAAGTGTTATCTGCTCTTCAAACTTTCTGGTCTGCTGACTCGGCAATGAGCTTCAGGTCGTTGTTGCAGTCTATGTGCTCATGGCTTTGACCTATCGGTCTCCAGCATTTGACGATGCTTCCGGATCGATGAGAAGAGCGCGGGTGGGGGCCAAGTGTTAACGACGAAGCGTTGGAAGACCCGTCACGCCGTACGAAGATGAAACCATGAAAAGGGTAATAAGGGCTCGGCCTCATCGGAAACGACTAGAAGCAGAGACTCCATACGTTTGTGTGACGGGATATGGGTGTTCTATTGTCCTCTTAATTTGGGCAAGATACTCCAAATCCTCGGCCGCATCTACAGTTTCTGGGCAGGCTTGTGGAGTTTTACCTTGCAACTTACAACTTTTATTGGAGATCAAGTGTAAATTTCTGGTTCGCTGTCTCATCAGTCATGGCCTCGCTTCCTATTGTTCCATGGCAAAGCTACATAGCTGTACTAGTTTCGCTTCGGTATACAGGAGCAACTTTTATGATGAATGATACAGAACAAACACAAGTTTTGGATAGCTGGCACCAGATAAGGATCAGTTTCAGTAACAATATAATACTATCACGGTTCTTCAAGTGATTATTGCAAAATGGACTTTGGTTAGTGCTACAAGTGAACAACTATTGCTTTTGTCCTATTTAAAAATATTATTTGAATTGTAATGCCCAGGAGTTATGACCTCATTTGAACAAACCCGACATCTTGGATCCAAGAGGTCCGATAGTTGGTTCGTTTCGATCTGTGTCTAGACTTGAAGGGAAGAATCCGCTGTGGTGATGAACACCTTCGGAGTAGGCTGGAAGAATTACAGAGTATTCCCCATACAGAGATACAAAATCAAGTGGAAGACAAGTTTGCACAAAAATATGGAGTGGTACCTTTCGTTGTTTGTTATGTGTTTTTAAGCTATTATGCATAAAGAAGGAGAAATTAATAGTAGCTTTTGGAGTTATCGCGTTTCTTTCGATTCTGCTGACAAACATTGTGACTCAGCCGTTGAGACTTTCTAGCAGGAGTAGCATGTTGAGGGCGTCTGGCGCCTAAGGTGGAAGGGTTGATATAGGATAACTTGATGAGTTGGCTACATTCTGACGTACTTCCTGTAAAGTTGCCAGAAGCCCACTATACAAACCTTTAATATGGTGTAGCTGTAATACAAGATCTTCTTCTAGAAGGTGTAGGTATAAGGGGAAAAAGCAAAGAACAGTGGTACTGTGGTAGACACCTGGTAGAACGATTTTTAACGAACGATGTGTGAGAACGAAGACTCCGTGCTGACTATTGAAGACCACATTTTGCTGTACAGCACCTTATGCCCCGAACATTCTTTCACAGCAAATCTCTAGTACGCAGCATATTCTGATCTTCCTGTGACTAGATTGCTTTTCAAATTCGCAGAGTTCTCCGCCTTTCGGCAGACGCAACGCTGTGAAGTTTTGAAACTCGTAATATTCCGAAGGGAGATGTAAAGTAGGTAGCTACACAGTTCGATCCACACGACGCAGTATCTGTACTCTTGACGAACTTTGTTTTTCCCTAGAAAGATATGTTCAAAATTCGCAACAAAAAAGACAAAATATATATTATTATTGTTTCGCCGCTTCGGAAGAAAGTTTGTGGCAACAGACTCTTCGAGGGTGCCGGAGAAATCTGCCGAAAGCCACGAAATGATACAGCATCAGATTTTGGAAATTGTACGTCATTGGGGGCGATCTTTGACCCTCAATGTCCCATCTGTGTATCCAAGGTTAAAAAAAACAGAAGCCGCTGATGCTGTTGACATGCTGAGGGTCTGCAGATCGAGCTTCTGGATTGAGCGTCTTCTGACTTCAATGGTTTGTTTGTTCTTGCCCAGAAGGTTGCAGTTCATTATAAAGTCTAGAATGAGATGAACTAGCTCTCGCGGAAATTTGAATATTTCTGAAGGAACCATTTCTGAATGGGTGGTCAGTTTAAAAGGGAAAATTATAGTAACCGCATCAGACCGTACAGGAATGAAACCAAACCGGTGGCCAAGTCCCCAAGATCTATAATAAAATTACATCCGCTACTTGCTCCAAGATGCTCGCAGAGACTGCAATTTAGATAGGAAATATAGGTTAGTGTATGTCAGTCTCGACGGCAATCAAAGTTGAAACTAGAAAACGGCTTTATCGGATCTGCAAAGAGTCCGCATTGCTCAACATTCTGAACCCACACTAGCAGTGACCTTCGTAGCAGTAACTCAAATCAAGACTCCGTATATAGTGTCTCAGATGATCAGCCAGAATTCGTCGCTGGAATAATTAACTCGGGTGGTGAAATAGGTTTAGTCAAGTGTCTAAAAAAGAGCTGGATAAAGAATCTTTCTCAAAATCAGTCACGCGCTAATGGCTTGCGCTGGTGCCGTACAGAAGTTTAAAACAATGAACTGTTCAAAACTTGGGCTGCACTATGCCCTCACGCAACATACCGTCTTAACTGTCCACTATCGCTGATATTTCCAGCCAAGTTTTGAACAATTGTTGGTGATGTACGAACTTAAGATCTAGTTTACTCCCTGTCATAATAGGTCGTTTCGCAATCAAAATACTTTACCTTCGGTTGTTGAAATATCCTCAAAATATGTGTGCGTAGATGCGTAGAATCTTTTGATATATCTATCATAAGATTTTGGAGAACAATTTATACCACATCTAGAATTATTGTGAGATTTGGCGTGAGCTTCCCATAATATGAATCTCCATAGGAAAGTGCTGCATATACGTGTTTGGATTTAAAAGTTAAGTGATCATGGAATAAGAGATAGCTGGAAAGAATTAACGTTGTCACAAGTTTTCATAACTTTTTCTGTTTGAAATATTTGAAAGTATCAGTTTTTGTTTTCACTCTTGCCAATGTTACTACCTTCGACACACACCTAGTCTTATACACTCAAAACAAACACATGTGGTTTGCCACTATGGGCAACGTCAAAGGAAACATCTCTGTTTTACTTAGAAAACCTAAAAAGTGTCATTGAGAGCTTTTGTGAGCTCTCTTATATAATGGCAGTTTAATCAACTTTACGATTTGAGGTTAAATTAATTTGTGTTACAAAACCTGAGTTAACTCATAACAATCTTTTCCAAACTGATGATATGGGGACCATAACTTTCACAACCTATATAATTACTCAACCGATAGTTCTAGACTGACATCTATCATAGACTTCTCTTTAGACTAGAACTACCTAGAACTAAGATTTATCCAAAACATGAATTAATGTTCATAAACTGATCAAATTTTGCATGTCATTGCTCAAGAGGTTACATCAATCCATATAGCAATTTCAGTAATCTACAAATCAAATTCTCTTATTAACTTATGGGCTTGGATCAATTTCAGTAATCTACTGATCAATTTTTCCAAGGCCATAAGTTGTCTTTAATTATAATTTTTTTTCTTTGAAATTCATTCAAAAATGTTGTAACTATATCTTATTGATCCAAAAATAAACTAGATATTGTAGCAAATTCACATAAAATTCAAATTCTAACATTTTTTAATTTAGATGAAATTTTTAAATTTAAATCCACAAATTTTTTTGTGTCAATACTCAAACGATCAATCTAGCTTTAGAGATTATTTTTTGTCATATGCTTGATTTTCCTTTATTTTGTACACCAATTTTGAAGTATAAAATAAAAATGTTGATTTTTTGAAAACTTCATAAACTTTCACATCCTGTTATCAATTAAAAATAGTATCTCACACTCCATAACAATATTCATCTTAAGTTAATTGACAAATCCTTAAGCTTATTTACAGAAACAAGATTCTTACCCCAAGATTAAACATTAAAGAATATACCAAATGTTGATTTTTGAAAATTTCACACCTTTCACATACTGTTATCAATTAACAATAAAATCTCACACTACATAACAATATTCTTTTTAAGCTTATTTATAGACGCTTGAGCTTATTTACGATTTATTTATTTACGCTTGAGTTATATCCTTAAGCTTATTTACGAGAACGAGATTCTTCTTCTTTCAAGATCAACACATTGTTATCACTTTATTCAATCTCAATATCATCATCTTAACATTTGCACGAATCAAACAATATTTCATATCTTAGTACGAGCTATATTAACTGAGATTTAAAATCTACTTGTAGAAAGTTTTGATTAATTTTCATTATCTAAAGAAATTATTTGAAGTTTATTGACAAAAACTTGCGTATTTTATTCATGTCGTTCAGTAATTTGCTCAAAATATATCAAAAGTTCTTTTTGTGTAATATTTTTCAATTTATGATGATCAACACCTTTTTCAAAAATAGTTTTCAGTGAAAATTTATCCTTGTCAATATAGTACGTCTAAATGTTTGTCCACTCTATTAATGATCCAGGCTTATAAAAAAACATTCAAACAAACAATCAATTTATATGCTACAAGATTTCTGAGCCTATAACTCTTCAAATTAATAGCATATCCAAAAAATCAATATTCTTAAAATATCAATTTGATTTTATACTTCTTAGTTTTGAAAAAAAGCTATACAATAAAACATTTCAAAGAATCATAATCAATCTTACCTTTGTGAATAAATTCAATGATGATAAAAAATTTAAAAATTTAAAAATTAGAAAATGCATATAATCACATTTAGTTAATTAGAATTAAAATAATAAGCCTTGCAATGAAAAATTTCAAAGAATTATAATCAATCTGCCGTTTATGACTTCAATGATGATAAGAGATTTAAAAGTCAAAAGTTTCAGCATATACATGTAATCAACTTTAATTACTTAAACCTAAAAAAAAATTTATTCATTACGAACATCGTGTTGTCTCATAGTGGTCTGAGTATGTAGATAATGGGCTTAAAATATAATATGTTTTTTTTTTCATTTGTCTCCTTTCGAAGATTGTGAAGAGTATAATAAGATCAACAAAGATGTCAATGTGATCTTGGATCTTTTTGACTTCATGAAGATCATTAGGTTTAAGCATGCACAAAGCCTATTAGACAATTCTTTGTGATGAAATTGTTGTTCAAAAGTCTCAAATAGCAAAATAAGTTTTTAACATACTCATTTACTTACTTAAAATCAAAGGTTGTAAATATATTATAACAATATTCATAACGAACTCTTGAAGATTTTTTCCATCATTGTCGTTGTAGATGGACGATTTTGATCTCAATGTCTTACATTGTTTGTAGCATTCAGTTTGTCTTTCATTTGTCTTTCCTAACGCAGATAGTCATCATGTTCATAGTTTTAATTATGTCATATTCTGCTACCTTAAATTTCATGGTCATCAAATATTATCAATTGTTTCTTGTGAAGTATGTAAAATTGCTTTTTTTTTTTTTTCATGTAAAGATCACTCATAAGATTGAAATACTAAAATTTAGAATTTAGAATATATGAGTTAAGGATTATGATTTAATTTCTTAAATATAATTTGTCTTAGCTATGCTCCTCCTTGAATGAATTGCTTATAGCTACATAAGATAACCGTTATTTAGCTTCTTCAACCAAGTGCTTGATGATAACTAAGAAGCACTACACAATGCAGTCACACATTATCAAAGAGCATACTTACAAAGAAAATACTCTATTTTTTGCTAATAAAATAACTTAAAATATTCTTCTTTCAATAGATAATTTTTTTCTTACTTTTTCATTCAGATTTTAGCCAAATAAAAAAACAACAACATAATAAACAATATATAGATTTTTTTGACATGAAATAAAAAAAATTCATGAAAGATGAAAATAGTTTTAATACATTCTAACTTATCTTTTGACAAATACATCCGCATGTATTAACTCTTTCTTCTTGAAACAAAATTACTTAGCCCTCTTTCTAAGCATGTATTAACGTTCGTTGCGTCTTGAAGCAAGTGAATTGACATACGACATAGGCTTTAATTTTTTTTGATACTAGTAGATTATAATATCAATTGTTGCAGATTTTGGCAAAAAATACAAAAGCACACACAGATTCCAAATACATTAAAGCGCAGACACAAGCATATACAAAAGATGCCAACACAAAGTATGTGGTTTGCCACTATGGTAACGTTCACAAGAACTCATAAATAATCTTTACTGATAAAAAATCAAAAGTGCTAGTTGACAAGTTTGGCTAGTTTTACTTTATAGTTTTAGCAATTATAAATTTCAACTAAAGTTAAAATACATAAGTAAGAAAAATAAATTAATCATGCATAAAGCTAATTTTTGACATCATAGATCATTGTCAAATAAGTCATATTCATTGAATCAAACTCTTTTTCACATTGCGCACAAAATAAAAAATATGTTATCATGAATTTTGTATGTGATTTCCTGAAAATATTTGTTAAAAAATAATTAAGTTTTGAATTTTATAGACAAATTAAGCAAGCTGATCAAACAAAAAAGTCAATGTATCTATAGAGCATATGCTTTCAGATTAGAATAGCAACAAAATTAAAAAACCCTTTTGACTCTTTTGCAATTTGCATATAACAATTATGTTTATGAATTTATAAATATATCTTTATTTTATATCATGTACTGTGTTCATTCAATAACTCCAGCAAGTTTGATAGCCTTATCAAACTTTTAAAAGAAGAGGATTTTTTCTTAAGCAAAATAGAAGTACTCAATAATTTTGTGGTACATATTCACAAATATCTACATTAAATCCAAAATAAGTTACTTATCATTCATAATTGAAAAAAATAACATGCAGATGTTAATTGCATAAATTTGATTGATTAAATAAGATATCATAATAGATTAGCTATAAAAAAATTATTTTTTCTAAACTCCAAAATTTAATTCTAAATTAAAATATTTTTTTGTGATATTGAAAATTTTGATAGTTCAAAAGTTTTAATGTATATACAGGTAGTATGTTGTATCTTTAAAAGAAGGAAGGTTTTTAATCATTTTCAATTAGTTAAAAGCAAGGTAGAGGTTTCTCAAGATGGAGATACAATTGTCTTATAGTGGATTTTTTAAGATTGTCATATGTTTGATAGGAAAGACTCAATGACTTTGTGAACACATAAGAAATCCTTGTACTTGTTTGTGTAAACCAGTCATATATTGAATCCATTAGTAGTTGAATGAATGATGTATATCACACCTTATCTTCTTGAACTTATTAAAAAGATCTATATAAGAAAGACTAGAATTATCTAAGAGATGTTCATCTTTAAATGAGCTTTTTTCATACTTCCTAGTATTACATTTAATAGTTGAATTGATAATAATCTATTTTTTTACTTAAAACATGAAAACTGCTTTAAATTGTATGTTTGACATTCAAATTTGAGTTTGTATCTACTTTTTGCCTTCAAACAAAAAGTTGGAAAATCTTCTATGTCCAAAACCTTCAACAAAGCAATGTTATATTGTATGCAAACATCAAAATATAAACAACTTTGTTTTGGAAAAAAATTGTTTTGGTTCTAACATGTCCATCATTTCACTCCGTATAAATCTAAACAATGAAGAGTTGGTTAAATAATAATGCATGATGCTTCTGTGAAAGATAAAAAACTCCAAAACAATTATTTGAATCTCATAGCAAAATTTTCTATTTGATCACGTGTCATAGTATTGCATCTCCACTATGACTTTGCTTGAAACAATATCACTAACAGAACAATTCTCATCATCTATCGTATGTTCCAACAATTTTTCTCAGTTTGTTTGAACTCTTTCACAAAAAGCACTTGTTTGTTCACTTACCTTCAAAAAAATGCGTTATTCCTTCTTTGATTCTAAATTTGCCCTCAAATCTTTAAATATTGAATAATCTTTCAATGATTTTCTTGAATCTTGCGAGTAATTTTCAGTTTCAAATATAACAGTGCATATCTATAAAACTTCATTAATAAGCACTCAAAGATTGAGTTTATTCAAGTGAATTGGTTGCAAATATTTGCCAATGTTTTTCAGACCAACATCAAATTCTAACACCAAGTTACTTTAATTCTGTTTGAGAGCTTCTTTCAAATCTAGACATGATTTAATTAGTGTTAAGTCAATCATGTTGATGCTCAATATTTTGAAAGATGTACAATGTTCATAATGGGGTTTAAAACTTACACACTATGACATCAATTGATAAATCCTAAATGTTGAACTCACAAACATATAGTTACATGCACAGCAACCATACATGATTTGTTAAATGTATTATGTCCATGAAACAACTCAGATTTTATTGAAGATCTATCAAAAGTGTTAACGTAATTTTTTTTGAGCTCTCTTATGTAATGACAATGTAACAAACTTTAAACAGAATTTTGAAATCAACATGGTCAAATTTAACAAAAAATGAATTTTATGTTGAATAATAAAAATATAAAATTTTTTAAAATAAATATGTCAATTATCATTACATTATAATATGTTAACTATATATTTTTTTCTTCTTTTAAAATTTTCAATACATATATGTTAATTAGATGTGTATTTTCGTAAAGACAAAATAACACAACTAGTACTCAATAATTCATCACTTCCAAATTGATATCAAATACTAAAGAAATAAAAATGTCTCAAATTGTCATCAAGTCGTCAAAATTCAGAATTCAATTGATAAAGTATGAAGTGTGTGTTATTTTGATTGAAGGTAAAGATTAAATCTAAAAAAGAATTTTGCATTAAAATTTGATAAATTTTAAATATAATAAATAAAAATTTTTAAATATAAATTTAAGAAACATCATATAATAATTTTACAATATATATCTTTTTAATTGAACATAAATATATTTGATCGTCAAATTACCTTAAAAAATATATGCAAATTTTCATAAATTTTTTAATTTCATTTTAACTTTTTTTAAAAATATATTTAATTAAAAATTTTTATATACAACTCTATTCAGGAATTTTTTAACTCACATGAAATTATATTGATTTTTTAAAAATTTAAGTTTTATATCGCGTATGTATTTAGATGAGGTTTCACATGTTTAATATAAATAAACGTAATTACAGAGTGTAGATATATTTTTTACTGTATTGTATTTTATGATAGTAAATTGAGATCAGTATAAATAATATTTGTAGAAGTTAAAGATTCAATTATTTCATAATAGCCATTCATAAAGGTGGTCTTTCTTTAGAGTTGACATTATGTCATTTCAACTCTCAGCGGATTACATTCATGTATTGTAGAACCTCCTCGAACTCGTAAAACGTAGTTTCCAAAACTGTTACTGACGTTGAATCGAATCAATGGAAAATAGCTCGTTCACAAATCCAAGATTAGAGTAAAAGTTGAACTACCTACAAGTCCTACAAGAAGCGTCATCAGGATGTAATTGTTAATGTTTTTAAGCGGCTGATTACGAAAGAAATCTAGAAGATCTCATTTGTAGGAGTCGAAATGAGCGGTCGTATTACAGTAATATCGCATGCAATTCCACAGCGCGGAGAAAGCGACAAGTGGTGACTGTATTGCGTGCATTTCACAATTTAGGTCTTCTCCCTCCGACATACATACAGAGACTCGCTGCAACTTCCTCCTTTTAGCTTTTGCTTCTGCATTGAGTTCTAATAATAAATATCTTGTCTGCCGTCGGACCCGTACATTCACGTGAATGAGGACTTGTCCGATTATAAGGTAGATGCAAGGTAAGTGTCAAAACTTCATAATTCTATATCCTGTAGACTTCTATTCCCTTCTTTCCATCGGACTCCATCGTCGTGAACACTGTACAAACAGGGTTTCACTGCTCTCATCCTTGGGCGAAGTTTCCTCCTACCAAGTCCTACCAAGTCCAGCCGGACGATGTCTACTCTTCCTTTTTCTTTATCAGTGCCCTCTGCTCACTTAAAACTTTCTCTCTTTTGCTTTTGAGAGAAGTCTGCAATACATGATTGCGTTAGAAGCTTCGAGACAGAGCCATCGAATCAGTGGACCTAATCACTACCGTTTGTCGATGTAATAAGAATTGAGCCTTGCACTTCCCTCCCTCCCCCTTCCCCCAGTTCAGGCGGTGACTCAGTCACAGTCTTACTCGTTCGCTTAGGGTGCTTGGAAGTTTTAATATTGCACCTATTTTTCACGAGTTCAGACCCTCTTGTTAAGTATTACCCCTTTCTGCCGTTAAAAATCTCAAGGCTCAAGACTGAGTAAACTACCGAGTGTCGGAGATTTCTCACTCCTGTCTGAACAGGGTGGAGAAACTGTCGCTAAGTGAGGGCGGAACTTGTTTGCTTGTACGATCAGATTTTTTTCTCTCGAGTGCTGGTCTGTGTCAGCAATTCATCGGCTTACTGCGAGTGGAGACTCGCACAGAGCTTTCTTTCTCTCACTCTCTCTCATTTCAGCCCATTGGCCGGCAGGTTGGGCTAGTGTGACCCTTAGTGTCCGCCTCCCTCTCTCTCCTCATGAGGAGGATATCACTCGAGACGGATGTGGATTCGGGACTCTTGATGGTATACTTCCCATTAAATCTTGGCGCCTTGGATTTGCTTTGGAGCCTAAAGCTCATTCTATGCTAGGTTGGCGACCTCTTCCCTCCTCAAGGAGAGTCCTGACTGTTTGTGGATATTTTATTGGCTGTGTTTCACTCTTTTAGTATTGAGTAATTGCGCCTCTTGACTAAAGGTCGTGACTGAGATTGACTGTCTCCGCATGCCTTCATTTGCGCTAGAAGTTCGGTCTCTACTGTTTGCGCCAGATTATTGCACCATAAGTGCCTGCTTCGGCCCACAAGAGACTTAAGTGTTATACGCCCAAGAAGTCTCAACTAGAATCAGATGTGTCGCGCGTTCCACAACGTTCCAAATTTATTCTTGATTTTTCCGCCCTCGGATTGCCGCATTCTAGACGGTATTCCTCCAACACTCAAGTTTGCTAATTCTAACGCTTGGTTCTCACTGCGATCGATTGGCTTGGTGAGAACAGGGTCAGCTGCTTGCTGGCGCTAAATGACCATCCTGCCACACGGTCCAGCATTGCTCCAGCACGAAGCCACAACTTTGTCCATGAACTCGCCAATTCTCCCAAACTATACTTGTCAGGTAGCTCATGTTCAGGTCGTCTCTAACACTGTACTCTTTCATAGCTTTTCTTCCTTTATACACAGTATTATTTCTAACTGATAGTGGTTCTCCAATATTTCCCTCGTGAAGTTATGTATAGCTGACGCCACGTTAGGGTCATGAATTTACCACTTATTCCTCGAAGAGAGTTCCTCGTGCAAAGTTCGACACGCTTCCATCCGGCCTGATACACACCCAGCTGATAACGACAACAGTGTTGAATCCAATCCCATCTACTCCTGTACTACAGAGTAACCTCCATCATGCGAAAAGGGGCATGATGTGCTGTGTCTTATTCCTGGTTGCAAGGGCGTACTATTTTCGTCGCGTCTGTCTCAGAAGAACGCAATCCTATTTCATTGCTACTACGGAGATGGCAATACAATACGGTGGGTGTGGAACCATCCTCTTTCACGTCCTTCCAGCTTTCAGTGGACATATTACTTTGCTTTTCAGATGCTTTACTTTTCATACTTGTGACATGACAGACAAAAAGTGCATCCTTACACAACCTAACCTAAGAATCTCGTAATGCAGCGTACTGGAGATGTCGTGCCCATGAGATCTTGTATGTGAAAAACGTGGATAATCTAAGGTATTCATCAAAAGTTACTGCTATACTGTTCAGAAGCACTATGGTTTCCCAGCCAAACCCGTATATTCTCATTATCCAAACCTGATTAGAATATTGCATACAGGTTCTTGTACTGCTCTTGCAAACTGAACAGCTTCAAGACAATATCTAAATAAGTTAGACTCTTACGCTGCCCTTTAATTATATAGGTCTTATTATATTTCAAGAATATCTCTTTTGCTCCAAAATGTTGCTTCTGAATTATTGTTCGGCATCTTAAAATTCTACTCTATGAACATGCTTTATACAGTGGAAACCCAGCTCAACCAGCCAACTTCAAATATATCAATGACTTCAACCTTTTTGAAATATTGGAATGCAAGAATCATAATACATTTGATATGGCACATGCTGCAATTCTACTCGCTATAAGAACAAAACTAGGTTGGAAAAGCTTTACGAACCCATCTTTCAAGCTTTATCAAACCTGCAGATTCTAGCTTTGATTATCAATTACAAGGCGCGAGCCCTCAATATTCCCATCTAAACCCACAATGAATTGCATATACAGTTGCCATGTATTTCTTAATGTCAATACTGTTTGTATTCCTTCTAGCGACTAGATTGCTAACCAATCTGATGCTAATAAGAGTGATGACGCATGGCAACAAAGAGAGTAAGAGTTGAGCGAACGTAGGGTTGAGATTGATTGCTTACAATTGCAAAGAAATATATTTCGAAAAATAAAATTAAATGGACGATTATCTTTTTTTTTCGATTGCATCGGTAAACAGAATACATAATACGGAGATTGTCAAGGATAATATTGGTGACTGTTTGAATTTTTTATTTTAAGTGTGAATTTTTAAAGTAGTATGCATGAGTTGGATCTTTTTTTCTTTTCTGATTCCACAAGAAGCTATTTAAAACATGTGTACATTGGAAAAAGTTTTTACTATTATGAAATATTTTAGGGAATATTTCATAAATATTCCCTACAAGTCAAATAATATTAAATATTATTTGGGATGAGATATTAGTGATTTTGAAAATGAGACTAGATAAATAATAAAAATTCTTTCTTTATTATTATTAAGTCTATGCTAGCTACATATTTTTTGTTTTCATCAAACCACATATAACATGATTTATGAATACATGGAGAATTAAAATAGCCAATATGTATGTAAGGAACTTCGTCCTTGGAAACAAAGATTTAATTCATTTGACATCCTCTAAATGTGTAGTTGAAAGCTCCAACTAGCCTTTTTACACAGTAGTAATCTAACTGATCCAGTTAACAAGAGTTATATATACTTCTAACAATTCATCTCTTGAACCATGTACAAGGTATTTACTCTCCAATATCCATATAATTATATGGATAATGGAGAGTAAAATACACTACAAATACATTATACTACATTATACTCTACAAAAATTCTAAATAATAATCTGAGACTTAGTGTGAGAAATTAACTCAGATTTTTATAAAGCCAAAATAGCTTGAACTTAGTTAGTAAAGCGGGTTAAATTGTCACTATATATGGTAGCTTACATAATCTTTCTATAACACTTTTAAGGTTTTTTTCAGTAAAGTTTTTGTTTATGTGGACGTAATTTGCAATGATGAATACTATATGTCAAGTATTGATGCTTATGCTTATTCATGTTCTTGACTTTTCTTGTACTTTTGCATGTCAATTGATATCAAATATAGTTGAGGGGGATTTGAGCCACTTATTTGGCCTCGTAGACAACTTTTCCAATTGTAATAATGTTCTTGTGGCACTTGGAACAGCTATAGTGAGCTTTTAATAGTGGTGGCCTAGAAATACCCACAAAATCATGAGAGTCACAAGAGTAACACAATACTGATGAGGTCTTTACAAAACCGGGGATCAAATACAGTTGAGATAATCTGCGTGCCAAGTTGGAGCCATATTTTGACAAGGATAGTTCTCCGAGTTGACGAGTTGAGTCAAGTACCACAAAATTTCTTGTAAAGAGAACGTATGTCATTTCTTGACAACTTGATCCCACTGAGAAAGTGGGTGCTTCGCTCAGGTTATTAGTTTTTTGTGCACTGGTGCTACTGCATATGATGTTGTCGTGGAACAATATGAAATCTACATTCCGAACGAAACAATTGTTATCCAGATTCATAGAAATTCAATCGAAATGAACCCGGTCGCGGTTTTTGCTTGGGAGCAATGAGCTACATGATTTTCATAATTTGCATCTTCAAAAACCAGCGTGACTTCGGCTTGAGGTGACAATGAGAAAGTGGATACTCTCCGCGCCCATCCTCTCTCTCACAATTTTATAGCAGGAAATTCTCAGCTTGAACAATGGAGAGTGGTCCCGTTGCTTGGAAGGATAGTGAGTGCATGAATGAATGATTAGAGAATTCACACAATTATTCTACTTGGAAAATTGCTTCCGATCGTCGTGAAAGATTGACTTTCGTCTATTGCCAGCTAGCAACGTTGAGTACCGCGGCTAGCGCCACACCTTCCTTCTCAACGTGAGATCACCACCAACAAGTTTTTGATTTTCCTTTGCAAATCTACACAATGGATAAGCGGAATGTTATCTCTCTTGCTTTCATATGTATTTTGGTATCTCGTATCATTGTCAAGAGACAAATGAAGGAGGAGTAAATTTTTTTTGCAATTCTTCTATGTGTTCAAGGGAACGTTGAAGCAGTTATAAAGCAATTGTTGTTTTCACCGTCGGGCTTCAAAACAGATTTGACGTCAGAGAAAACACCAAGGGTTTGCAAATACTGTTCTCTTGGAAACATATTAAGAGTAGGAATTTGTGAGAAGATTTCAAATTCAGCCAACAAAATTCAAATTTATCGTATGATTAGTAGGTCCGGAGATGAAGAAGAATGCACGAGGTGGGGGAATTGAAGTTCAAGACAGTATAGCTGTTGCTCTAAATTGACTAAGGATAGGAAATTATCTCACGATGTGTGGTGATTTGTACGGCATCAGTGAAGGGCTTGCTTCTATTATTGTAAGAGAATTTTGTGCAATACATGTACAAATATGAATTTTGATGTTTGTGCCGAAGTGGATTACAAGTAGTATTAAAGAGGTTGCTAGTAGGTTTGAAAAAAATCATGGGATTTCAAATATTAAGGGGGCTATAGATTGCAGTCACATAGCAATAATTGCTCCACCTCAAAACAAGGAAGTATTTCACAACAGGAAAGAAATTCATTCATGACTTCTGCATGGGGTTGTTGATCCGGAGTGTGTCTTTTGGAATTTTGATTTCAGTTGGGCAGATTCTCAACATGATTATAGTGTCTTCAAAGATTCTGTATTAGGGAGACGAGTGATGAAAATCATGTATTTTGCTCACAAATTAATTGGCGATGCAGCTAATCATGTAAGTCGATACATGTATGTTCCTTACAAGGGAACCAAGGAGGATCTGGAACGGTGGAAAGCTCATTGGAATTTTGTGCAATCGTCTATACAAATGTGTGTGGAATGGACGTTAAGTTTACTAGATGGTCGATGGAAAATTTTATTTTGCATAATCGAGATGCCATTACGACACATTGCAGATATCGTCGTTTTATTACACAATTTGTGTATAATGCACAAAGATTGAATCGATCATAATCTGAATTTAGAAGGAGAGTAGTGTCTGAAACAAGATGGGATTAGTCGGTATGGACAATTGAAAAGTGAAACAATTCAAAGGATTGCATATTATGGAAGTCAACAACTACATGCTGTTAGTGATGATAACCAAAATGCATTTTCAATACAGAACGGTGAGGAGTAGATTGAGTATTTTCCTAATGTCAATATGAGAGAGTAGCTAGATATGCATTTGTTAAAAGAATGTATATATATGCATGACGTATTAATTAAAGTTTTGTTTACAGAGCATGTCATGCAAAGCACAGGAGAACATGATATTTATTGGGATTCGGACGATAATGTTTGTTAGGACAATATCATGTATCACAATTTATCCAAGTTTTTTGTGGTTGAGGACAATACCCATCGTCGCTTCGGAATTAAGTTCTTGTTCTTTGTGAGCTTTTACCTGCCGGATACATACATTGATCCTTAGGCCATTGTCTATTTGACTGATCTCCATCTGCTTAAAATGTGTTCTACTATTAGGTGCAAACACTGCAGGTGGATGGGATGCGCAGAAACAAGTACGTATGGTTGTGATTAGATTGTCTGAGGCACCAAGAATGAGTGCACGTTTTACATTCTTACTGAAAGTTATTTTGGAATATGAGCTGACCGGCAATGTAGAAGACTTGCATAATAAATAAACTAAGATATAATATATATATATATATATATATGAGATTACAAATTCACTACCTGAAAAAATAGTATGTCAATTGCTAGAAGAGCTATTTTTCCCCTACACTGCGCCGATAAGTTGACACATCAAAGATGGTATGTCCCAAGAATCTATTCGAGATCCATTCTTCTCTATCTTTTTCTCTATGTTTGCAAGAGCATCAACTAAATTTTCCAAGATAGAGAACATCCTCTCTTGATCTTGTTTTATACTTCGGTTGAGGTTTCAAACGTGGTACTTCAACATCACTTGTTACTTTTGAACTGGAGTACTCCACATAATCTGGATTTTCAGTCCTCTCGGGAGGATTGTCTAAAAGCAAATCGTCTTCAACCAGACACGGATTGTCACTACTGGATGCATTTGCATAAAAAGATTTCTTCACATGGATAGAATTTCCACAATGTAGTTCGAGCTCATGATAGAACTAACATGTTATTTTTTTGTCATTATCGCTTACAACATTGTGCAACTTGTCTTTCTTGTACTTGCTGAACTCAGCTAAATACTTCTTACAAACTTCTGCAGTCTTGGTGAAATTGGCAACTGACCACTATTTTTTTCTGCAGTTTCATCCAAGTATTCACTCCTGACCATCAAAACAAATACACAGGTTAGTCTGACCATCCAACTAACTTAGTTCAATAAACCAAGATCTTGTAAACAAACCACGAAAGCTACAGATTCTCTCTATGAAAACTAAATACAGTTTATCATATTGGAAGAAACAGAGCAAAAATTCTAGAAACTACATATAATGAAGAATCTGTACATAATCTATAACTCGTCCCAGAATGACAATCCATCAAAATTCGTTTGTCTTCGACTTCATCACATCACGTATAATGTAAAACTCTATTGGTGCATAATGCAAACATAAGAGTTTAAAGTTCTATGTCGTCAATCAGCATTTGCATACTTGTTCACAACATCAAGATCTAACTTCCCAGATTTACGGAGTCATCCGCTAATTATGGGAGGTTAAACTTTCCGGGAATCTAATATGGAGTAAACCTCTTGAATGAATTTCACTAAAACTCATATATGCTATGATTCTATGCAAGTAACGAGGAATAACACAGGCTATGAGCTCAATTTTGTGGAGTAAAGAAAAGGTATTACAAAATTTTGCAAGTCGGTTTATGTATGTGTATTAATTCATTATCCGTCTGCAGAGCTCAGAGCAAATGTCTTTGGTTTCT